GAGAGAGAGAGAGAGCTAGACGCTAGATTCAATTTGTGAATTTAAGCACCATGGACAGTAGCCTACATGCTAGACAGGGGAAACTCGAAAACCCCAGAGACTTCAATGATTCCAAGTGAGAAAAGTGATGATTGTATGATCATAGGCCTGTGGCATGATTCATTTTATGAAATGTGTAACAACAAAGAGTCTTTCGGATGATAATCAATAGCCAACAATTACTCTACAAGTCAACCCAAAGAACAACGAAGCATGGGTACACCTGATTATAGCGTCATCCAAAAAACAAAACTACACTGCATGTATAGCTTGATTCAAGAAAGATAAAGTTTAGTCATGCTAATGTCAAGAAATTATACAACTAATAACAGCTACTTCAGGAGGAAACAACCAGTATCACACTTTCTAGGCAAAAACATACTGCTAGAGCCATGGTTAGGCTAACACCTTACCTTTACAGATATTTGAAATGTACCGGGTCGCATCTGAGTTGTTGCTGGCTCGTGCGAGTTCTTGAGGCTGGCTCATGAAACACTGAATGGTCGCGAGCAGCCTCGGGTGATAATGATTCGTTTCTTGCGACTGCTTCACTGTAACCAAAACAGTTATGGTGACCCCTTTCCTTTCAGCAAAGTGACCGGTCCACAAAACCGTTACATGAATAACTATTTCATATTAACTATGGAAATGATTTAAGAAGTAAAATATGAGTTCATAATGTCTACCAAAATCACAACGAAATAAAAAAATCAATAAAAATCCTAATATCTCAATATAAATAGTGTTGAGTTCACACGAGCTACCACATTTAAATCACTATTGTCCTTTAGTTATTTCCACGTTGTTTATTTGTTTTGTTTGTGTAGCTCTCCTCTCATTCATTTGGGGATAGAAAAGTCCTAAGGCCAATTCCAGGCTCCTTTCAATTCATATGTAAACCAAAAATCAAAACGTCTCCAAAACTGCTTATGATCTCAAAATAGCCTACATCAAAAGAGTCGACAAAATGTGTTTGATAAGGCAGTCATGCACCATCAGCGTCCGCTTGGATTAAGTTTGATAGGTTGTAGGCTATTGTGACTGCCAAGTATCTTCAAAATACTGTCCCTACACCGATACCGCACATAAGGACAGCAAGTGTAACGGTAATAGGGGGAAATCACGACAGCTCCATGTCACGAAGCAGTTCTCCACCATTAGAAGGGGTCAGATTTCCAGTCCTCGAGGCTCCTTTGAGAAACAACCGTCAGGGCTACACTGGTAATGTGGTCACGGGCGCTTGTGGCTGCAGTTGGTGTATCCAGGCAGCCAGCTACTGTAGCCCGTATTGCTGACACTCGGTCGGTTTCTTCTGCGGGGTAGTCGCCCTATAATTTTTGATTGCCGTGTACTGCGCTGCCTGTTCGTTGTAGGCTGGCTTTGTAGCCTATTTTCTTGAGCTCGCAGACCAAATGAAGATTAGTAGGCATTAAAATGATCGGCATAGGTGGTGCTCCAATCGAAGGCGTTGAGATGGAGACTGAAGAAACACACGAAACACGAAATCTCACTGCTGAATCCGGTAAACCGCGGATGATCAGAGAGCAGTAATCGTTAAATCAGTGGTCCTCCTATGACCAAATGTCCATTTAGAGTATGGAAATGGTACGACTGTGGCAAGTTGAGTCATTACGAAATCGACTCTTGAGATTCAGCCTTCGGAGAGATGTCGACGTGGTGAGCATCCCTGAGAGTTAGATTCGCCACCTCTTCTGTCATTCTCATCTTCGATAGGACGACTATATGCGAATATCTACTCATCAGTTTAATTGCCCACGTTTCATTAAACGGTTATGAACCACTGCAATTTGATAGGCTAGACTAGCCTGGTTGCCAGTCTGTTTCCTTTGGCACATGACATGGAGTACGAAGAGTGGAATGTTAAACAGACTGGCAACCAGGCTAAGACTAGGCTACTCGCACTGCAAGTTTTGTTATGTTTCTGTACACTTTGGTAGATATTAACATAGACTGTTTCTATATTTCTGACATTTCTCACAGCGGCCACATCAACATGTGACACACACAACTGATTGAAGTTTGTTTGTTTCAGCACCATGGACAGCAGCTATAAGCATTTATAAGCATTATAAGCCTTACAATTCATAAGGAATTATAGCCTATAACATTTATAAAAATGCATAAAACATTTATACATACTTATAAGCATTTATAATGGCTTATTCATGACAGTTATTATAAAGTGTAACCGAAGAGACATTGGGAGCAAAGAGGAGTGAGGAGAGGGCAGAGAGGAGAGAGAGCGAAGAGAGAAAAGAGAGATTGCAGACAGAGAGCAGAGAGAGAGAGAGAGAACCCATATAGAAAGAGAGAGCTAGAGCAGAAGGGTGAACACAGAGAGAGCAGACTGGGACACAAAGAACACATCCAGCCCAACCAACCAACCTGGCTGGGGGCCAAAACAAGCAGTGGTCCATCTGGTGTGCCTAGCTGCTTCAGGAGTTCAGCCAGAATGGTAATGATCAGTGATTGGGCTACTTAGCGGGTGCTGAGCCCCGCTGGGCAGCTAGGGTATGGCTGCAGATCAGATGTACATAACCTATTACAAATTATTTTTGTGAAGTCAGGAAAGGGATTTTAGCATCAAAAGACTGCGATATGTCTATTAAGCAGGTGCTGAGATGGAAGATCAGCTATACATGGTGTTAACGTTATGGGCATGTTAACCTTTAAGTAATATTAGCCTAAAGACAAGTGTATTTGTGTTAAGTCAAGAGAGGGGTTTACACAATGTATATGTTAGGAACGCCATTTGTATAAAGGATGGTTGGTGACGGGATGGTGAGGGGAGGGAGAGAGGGGTACAATATATGTCTTTCTAATTCCTTACTCTCTGTATTCCCTGATCATTTAAATTAAATCAAATATTGATCACAAAAAGAGGGGTTTTCATTGAAAGACAGGAATATGCATTTGCAAAAGATGCATCGATTCTCTAAAGTCTCTTGGCCCCACAAATCTGTTTACAGTCATTATAATTATAATTGCTTTATAAGTTGGCTACTTATATGGGGGGTCAGGTAGCCTAGCGGGTAAGAGCGTTGGGACCAAAAGGTCGCTGGTTCGAATCCCTGCGCCAGCAAAGTGGAATATCTGCAGTTCTGCCCTTGAGCAAGGCTGTTAACTCCCAACAACAACTACTCCCCGGGCGCCGATGACGTGGATGTCAATTAAGGCAGCCCGCCACATCTCTCTGATTCAGGGGGGTTGGGTTAAATGCGGAAGACACGTTTTGATTGAATGCATTCAGTTGTTCATCTGACTAGGTATCAGCTTTCCCTATATGGACATACTGTACAATAAACTGAGACGATTTTGCACAAAACATTCATTAAATTACGATCGCAGACATCTCTCTCTCCCCCCCAGTCCATCTCTCCTCACTTCCTCACCCCCAGAGCTCATCTCAGACGAGGGAAGAAAGTTTTAGAGAAAGTGAAAACTGGGTTCTTATTGCATTAATTATTAATCTTCCAAATATTACAGGAGGGAGGCTGAGATTGGGCTGTATTGTAGTGACAAGGCTCTCTGTATTATTCATAGATGGAGGGAGACAGAAGGGAGGTTATGTTATTCTGTTCTCCTCCTCCAGTTAGCCCTTCCACACAGACACAGACAACCCACAGGCCCCTCTAGGACTGCTTTATGGTACTGGATGTTATTTCACCTCTATGTATGTGTGCGTCCCAAATGGCACCCTACTTTTGACCAGGACCTATAGGGTATATATGTCTAAAGTAGTGCACTACATAGTGTAGGGAATAGAGTGCCGTTTGGGACACAACCTAATGGCACTCCCAGGCCTTGTCACGATCGTTACTGGATGCGGACCAAGGCGCAGCGTGGTAAGCGTACATACTTTTATTGAAGTACACCACACAAACAAAACAACAAACCAAACGATACGTGAAGTCCTAGGTTAACACCAAAACAAACCTTACGGAACAAGATCCCACAATGACTAGTGAAAACAGGCTGCCTAAGTATGGTTCCCAATCAGAGACAACGAGCTACAGCTGCCTCTGATTGGGAACCACCCTGGCCAACATAGATCTAAACGATCTAGAATGAAAACATAGAACAACTAAACATAGGAAAATCCACACCCTGGCTCAACATTTAAGAGTCCCCAGAGCCAGGGCGTGACAGGCCTCCTACATGTTGCCCAATGAGGGAGCAGAACCACAGCTGGCAGTCACATGTGAGGTCAATATATATGGGTATGACATAGTGTTTCTTACAGCCACATATACTGTTTATAATTCATGCTACAATAATGGTAAAAATGGTATCTATTCTATACTGAACTCGATTTTAGTTCCTAGTATATACTGTGCTATTCTATATTATGTTACTGTCCATGTCCAGACCAGTAAGGAAGTGTCCTGTTCTGCCACCACACCCTGTCCTGTCCCGCTCTTGTCCTGTCCCATCCTTGTCCTATGCTGATCTGTTTTATCCTGTCCTGTCTGAACAGAGAACAGTATGCACTGGGATGTTAAAGGAGTGACTGGATTGGTCACGGCTGGATAATGGCTAGAGAGGGGAGCGCAGAGAGAGCTTCGCCGAGGAGGAGAGAGAGAGATGACGAGAAGAGAGAGAGAGAGCGAGAGACGAGCGAGAGAGAGGAGAGAGAGAGAGAGAGAGGAGGAGGAACGGTAGAGCGAGTAGAGCGAGAGCGAGAGCGAGAGAGAGGCGAGAGAGAGAGATAAGAGAGAGAGAGAGAGAGAGCGAGAGCAAGAGAGAGAGAGAGAGCTCGAGAGGAGAAGAGGGAGAGGAGAGGAAGAGAGAGAGAGAGAGAAGAGAGAGAGAGAGAGAGAGAGAGGAGAGAGAGGAGAGAGAGGGCGAGAGAGAGAGAGAGAGGCGGGAGAGAGGAGATAGAGAGAGAGAGCGCGAGAGAGAGCGTATAGAGAGAGAGAGAGAGATGTAGAGAGCGGCAGATGAGTAGAGCGAGCTCTCTATCTCTCTCTCTCTCTCTCTCTCTCTCTCTCTCTCTCTCTCTCTATCTCTCTCTCTCTCTCTCTCACAGCTTCCTATGTGGAATGTATCTTGTATTGCTGCTGCATCAATTGAGCAGCAGTAAGGGACTAAGAGAATAAATACAGTGCAAGACAGTCAGCACAGTGTGTGTGTGCCTGGTGCATTGTCACGTCTCACAGAGTGAAAGGGCATCAATCCCAGCAGACCCCTGGCCTCAGGGGCTCAAGCCATCATTACATTACTCATGCTGCCTCTCTGGCTGTGTGTATGTGAGTGGCTCTCTGGCCAAAACCAGCATCAGCTCCACCCTTAACCTCCCCCTGCCTCCATTCCTCCCTCCCTCCCTCCCTCCCTCCCTCCCTCCCTCCCTCCCTCCCTCATGGCCACAGGGGCTGAGCTAACCTTTTCAGCAAACAAGAAGGCGTCTGTGTTTCTTGATTTAGAAAAACACATTTGATAGCGTTCTGATTGTTGCTTCCTTCAACCCTGGAGGGATGGGCAGGACAATGGTTGGGGTTAATGGTGTGTTACCTGAGAGAGAGAGACACACACACACACATACAGACACACACACAGAAAGCAGGACAATAGTGGAGTTAATGTTGTTTTACCTCAGAGACATTGTGCCTCCTGCTGTTTGAATTAGCTTCCTCCAATGCCAGGTGAAAGGTGATTGTTTGTTCCTAGAAAACTGACACCTGGTGAGATAGCGCGATACTGGCTTTCAGCAACAAAGACAAATAGCTAAATGTGTGTGTGTGTGTGCTTCTATCTCTCTCACACACTCACATGCGCGCACGCGCACACACACACACACACACACACACACACACACTCTATTCTCATTACAGACCTTTTTGTCTTAATCCAGATGAAAATAATGACTATCCCCCTACAAGGACTACATCTGGCATGTTCATTCAAATGTACTCATAATGAGTATGTTTACATGCACACTAATGATGCAGCGGGCAGAGTATGGCATTAGTCATGTAAACACCTTACTCTTAATCGGCGTAAGGTCATAATCGAAATAAGCATACGCCGATTAAAACACCTGGATTTCTAAGCAATCTTTCGAATTATTAAGACATGTAAACACCTTAATCAGAGTTCCAGCGGTGTATTTGAGCTGCACATGTTATAGCACCAGCAGCGCAAGCTTCCATCTTTTGCACGAGTGAAGTGAGTTCGGAAAAACGGATGCATCTTAGAAATAGTTCTCACATACAAACTTTATGTGTCTGAACTGGAGAGTTAACTATTGAGTGTCTGGCTTGCATGGACAGAGGCATGATTTGATGTCACAACAAATTGAAACCAAAACAAACAGAAACAGATTTTTATGTTTCCTGAAATCATAATCTCAAAGCAGTTGTCATGGCACGAGGTCCCAGAGTTTTGCATGGTCAGGTCATGCGGTCAGGAAGAACTCCTAGCTGGGCCTACAATGGCCCATGTACATGTTGTGGCTGCGGCCTGATCAGACAGACAGTGACTAAGGTTCAGCGTCAGACTTGTACAAAAGCTGAAGAGCAGACACACATCCAGTTACTTTATTGCAGGTGCTGGAGTTCTACTGTAGGTGAACTCATGGACAATGAAAAGGAAAACTCTGCACTCTGCTGTTCATGCTCCCAGGTGATTTTATTGATACAACGTTTCGACCCTTAAATCCAGTCAAACGTCCCCAATTGGCCCACAAGGCCAAAACCAGGATTGAATAGGCAAAAAACTCAGTTAGTCCGACTGGATTGCCAGTGATAATGTCCATGGTCTATTAGGATCTATTAGGGACTGGCAGATGTCGAGAATCATGCTTGACCCGAGGGCTTAAAGAAAACAATCGAATTCTGGTCAACAAACATAACGTCATTAAGCCAGATAAAGAGTCGGCGGTCACATGGGAGTGCCTTTTAAGAGTAGAGAGAGGGATGAGTCCGGACAGACACATTCCAAAGGAGAAACACCAACCAAGAGGAGAGAGGTCAGAGAAAAAGAGAGTTGGAGCCCAGTTTTCGATAAAGTTCAATCGAGAGAAAAAGACTACTGAGAAAAAGATAAGGAACTGAGAAGACAGGATACTGTGAAAGACTTTGAGACTTTAGCATTAGACACCTCCTGGAGATAAAGATACAAGAGAAGAGGGCATAGTGAAGGATCGTCATTGTGAAGAAACAGACATCTGGAATGGAGTGTAAGAACAACAGACAGACGAGGAAGAGGAATAATTTAGCATTGACAGTCCGTATAACAAAGCAGACCATCCTTTGAATGAGGAGATAAAGGTAGAGAAGAGTAAGATCGAGTTACCGTAAAGCTAACAGACCAACCTACTGACACACCGGCCAACTGACCGACCAACCAACCGACTGACTGACTGACCAACCAATCCAGAGTATTGTGTGTCCGAGGTTATGCGTCTCCTCAACAAGGACCTGAGGCTGCAGGACGTGACTCTGATGTAGCCTCCTACCAGGTAGATCCTGCTACCAGCGCCTCCTGGGGAGGATCCACCCCCACCTCCACCTCCACCCCCCTGCTGCTGCCCTACCACATGCCCCTTGACCCCCGTGGACACCTCCACCTGTCCTGGAACATCTCCTACCCCTCCATGAGCTGTACCTGGAGGTGCGGTGCAGCGAGATGACACACGGCCTGGTATTGGGGATGTCCGACCGCAGGGAACTCACCAAAGCTGACCTAGTGGTCCTGTGGGATGATGGCCACCAGGGGTAAGGTAGGTTAGAGAGTGTGATGCTGACCAAGGTTGTGGGTTCGATTTCTGCATGGGCGGGATAAAGTCGATCTTGTTCTGAGTTCAGCTCTGCCCTGGAGGGCAGAACAAATGTGAATGGTTTGGATGAAAGAAAACCTTAACCAATTGAGATAACTTGCCTAAACTTAACCAATCCCATTTGTTTCTGCCCTCGAGGCAAAGCTGCCCCCAGAATAAGCTTGAATAAGGAAAAAGAAAATCTGCCATATTATAGCTGGTGCCCGTTGTATTAGCTTTACTGTATGTAAGAGGTGGTTCATTCCGATGGTAGAGAGCCAGGCAGGATGTGCCTTTATCGTGATCATCCTAAGGTGGGGAGGTTTTTATAAGATAGATCCATATGGACATAAAAAAAACAAATTTCCGGTCATTTGAAAACAAATGACCGGAAATACTGTATACTCCAAATGTTAGCTATACATCTTGTGACTCATGAAATATACACATGGAGAAAATCAGATTTTCTCAAAATAAACATTTCATATCAACTAAAGTTTGCAACGCTTTCGAAAGAACGTCGCTCACTTTCCATGTGAGGACAGGAGTCTTATTATAGGAATGATCCCAGCCTACTGTCTGTCTATGTGGGATCCTCTTTTCCCAGCACTCCTGTCTGTCTGAGAAGCCTGCTTATATGTGCTTGATGAGTTCCGTAGCGATAGCCTGACAAGACACTCGCCCCCCCCAACACTTCACCCAGCCTCCATCTCCCTCCATCCCTCCATCCCTTACACTTCACCGTCCCTCCATCTACATCTCGGTCAGACTGACATGGCTCTCTTTCTCAACTCCAGACCCCCTCACCACCTCAATCCTTCTCTGCACCCTCCCTCTCTCTCCCTTCCTTTCTCAGCTCCTTTCCTCTCTCCCTCCTTTCCTCCTCTCTCCCTCCTCCCTCCAGATCACCTCCATCACTCTCTATCTTTCTCTCAGTGAGTGGATCTGGTAGATTATTCTAATCCACCACAGGGCAGCACACATACATCATACATCCCTTTTCACTCCTCCTGCCTCTGCCTAGACCCGTCCCGTCCCGGGCCTGCCTGTCCGCCTCTCTGCCTCTCTGTGAGGAGCTGCTGCTTAGATGCCTGCCTGCTGCGCCATCTCTCCAAACGAATGTTGAATGGCCCCTCTGATCCCTGTACCAGGGAGGAGGTCCAACAGGGACGGATGAAGGGAGAGAGTGAGAAATGAGAAGGCGAGAGAGAGAGAGAGAACTCCGAACATCTGTTAAAAGCCTGGGACCCCTGTGGTCACAACAGCACAGCGAAACCGCATTTTAGAGCGGTTCCGCTGTGACTGAGGTGCACAGAGTCTAACTAACCCTGACACATGGAGTGTCCCTGGTCAAGTTGGGCTTTTTACTAAATGTGTGGCTTCTTTGGAGTCTTTACTCTTCGACCCATCCCAGAGCAATCATACAAGGGGAATAAAACAGGTCTTGGGTGGAGGGTTCTATTTCGGAGCATGTTACATGCGGACAACGTGATTGAAGGAGACAGACTCAGCTGTTATGATTGGCTCCTGGGATATGCATCTCGCCTGCTGTAATGAAGACGCTGTGTGTCGAGAAGCAGGTGCAGGTGAAACGTCGAATAAAACAACAAACATGGAACGAGACAACATAGCAGTAGTGTCTACACAAAACCACAGGAATAATACTGACTGGGGAAAGAACCTAAGGGAGTGCCAGATATAGGGGAGGTAATAAGTGAGGTAATGGAGTCCAGGTGTGCCTCATGATGACGTGCAGGTGCGCGTAATGATAGATGCCAGGTGTGTGTAATGATGGATCCCAGGACCGGTGGTTAGTGTTCCGGCGACGTCGAACGTCGGAGGGGAGGAGCGGAAGTAGACGTGACACCTGCTCACCTGAGTGTAGGGTTAGGCGTCCACAGAATGACGTCACATATGTTTTGGAAATACTTACTTGGTTATGGGATGTTTCCGCTGTGTAACTTGAATTACAATTGTCCAGCATGTGGGCTGCTGTCCATAGTGCTGAAACATACAAATGGACCTAGTATCTGACCATCATCTTGTGTGTGTGTTTGTTTGTTTGTGTTCATGCATGTGTGTGTGTGTGTGCACGTGTGTGTATGCATCTCTCTCTCTCTGTGTGTTACTCCAGGATGCGTGGAGTGACAGTCAGGGCCGTGTGAGTCTGGACAGCCAGCTGATGACGGCCACTCAGACACCTGAGGGATTCTCCCTGCTTTTCAAGAGGCCTGTCAGCACCTGCGACCCACAAGACTACATCATAGAGGTAAGAGAGAGAAAGTGGCAGGTGGTAAGTATTTCTGTTAGCACCTGTGACCCCAGTGAGGTAACACGTAGAGGTAACATATTATTATACTGTTCTGTACTGGGAGGGAGGGAGGAGGGAGGGGGCGGGGGGGGGGGGGGGGGGGGGGGGGGGGGAGAAAAGGGTTGAGAGAAAAAGAAAGAGAGAAAAAAAAAAGAGGTCAAGAGAGGTATAATATAGAGACTGATCTTTGTGCTTGCTTGTGATTGGCAGGAGGTCACTGTCCACCTGATCTACGGAGTGTTGGATCGGCCAATCCGCTCGCTCCAGCAGCTCAAACTGTCCTAGATCGAAGACAGGGGTGCAGAGAGCCCTCCTGCTGCGCCCTGACACCCCGACCCCCTCCCTGCCCCAGGACATACAGACCCTGGAGGTGCGGAACCACGACGTCACCATCCCCACCCAGGAGACCACCTACTGGTGCCTACTGATGGAACCTTATAATTAGAATGACTTTTAGTTATTCCACAGAATTATAATTAATCTTATTAATTATATTTCTTTGGATGGAACATTGAAGCCCAATCCTAAATCCAACTGTATGCTCTAGCCCCTAGGCATTCGAATAGATCTGAGAAAATTGGATAAGTGTAATCAATATGACAATATCCCTCCCCAACCTTATTGCTTAGCCCCACCCAATCTTTTGGATAGGTGCCAGGAGTTGATTTTGAATTGGGCTAAGGAATGAGTAGTCAATACCATGGAGTCCATACCAGAGTATTTTCACCTCATCTTCTGTCCCCCCTCCGCTCCTCCTCCTCCTCCTCCTCCTCCTCCTCCTCCTCCTCCTCCTCCCTCTTCCTTCCAGTATGAGACAGTGGTAACCCCAGGTAACGAGGCCATAGTGCACCACATGGAGGTGTTTGAGTGTTCTCCTGAGATGGATACGGTCCCCCAGTTCAGCGGATCCTGTGACTCTAAGATGAAGCCAGCCAGCCTCAACTACTGTCGCCACATCCTGGCTGCCTGGGCCATGGGAGCGGAGGTAACCAAACACTGCAGGGACGGCACCAGTCACACACACACACGCACACCATACCTGGGTTCAAATAGTATTTGTTTTCTTTCAAGTACTTTAGCTGGGCTTGATTGAGCCTGTCTGGTGCAATAGAGTACTCCCAAAAGTGCAATTCCCACCCATCAGACACTCCAAGTAGGTTCAATCAAATGCTCAAAGTATTAGAAGAAATAATTAACACTATTTGAACTCAGGTCTAACACAAATCAATACATATCAATACTGCCTGGAAAATATTAATTAAAGATCATACAATTTTCACTTCACATTAAGTGGTCTTAATAACTTTGTTATGGACATGTTAATGATATAGGCAGATACAGGGCAATTATGTGGTGTCCCATGTGACTCAGCTTGCAACACCAGGGTTGTGGGTTCGATTCCCACGGGGGACAAGTACGAAAAAGTATGAAAATGTATGCACTCAGTACTGTAAGTCACTCTGGATAAAAGCGTCTGCTAAATGACTAAAATGTAAATATAGGTTAACTGTCACTTTGAGGATGTAATTGGTTAACGTCATGCTGCTCAATTCGTTGATGACCAACATGACCCGCCTACAGGGAGGAGTTGAGAGCCCTGGCGGAGTGGTGCCAGGAAAATAACCTCTCCTTCAACGTTAACAAAATTAAGGAGCTGACCGTGGACTACAGGAAACAGCAGAGAGAGCACGCCCCCATCCACATCGACGGGGCCGCAGCAGAGAGCGTAAAAAGCTTGAAGTTCCTCGGTTTGCACATCACTGACAATCTGAAATGGTCCCTTCACACAGACAGTGTGGTGAGGAAGGCGCAACAGTGCCTCTTCAACCTCAGGAGGCTGAAGAAATTTGGCTTGGCCCCTAAGACCCTCACAAACTTCTACAGATGCACCATTGAGAGCATACTGTCTAGCTGTATCACCGCCTGGTACGGCAATTGCACCGTCCGCAACCACAGGGCTCTCCAGAGGGTGGTGCGGTCAGCCCAAAGCATCACTGGGGGCACACTGCCTGCCCTCCAGGACATCTACTGCACCCGGTGTCACAGGAAGACCTCAGCCACCCGAGCCACGGCCTGTTCAACCTGCTACCATCTAGAAGGCGGAGACCGTACAGGTGCATCAAAGTTGAGACTGAGAAACAGCTTTTATCTCCAGGCCATCAGACTGTTAAACAGTCACCCCTAGGTAGCCTAGCGGTTAGAGCGTTGGGCCAGAAACCGAAATGTCGCTGGTTCAAATACTGGAGCCAACAAGGTGAAAGAAGTGGTGGTGGTGTTAAAAGTAACTGTCCCTTCTGACATTTTCTGAATCTAAAAGAAGTTGGGGAAACAACCATATAAAAGTGGTATACCACCACAACATGCCATAGCGCAACTCTCCCACAAGGAGATGCCTTAGAACAGTGCCCAAGAGGTAGCCATACCTCTGGTGGAACGAGCCCTTCCGGGCTGTAAGACTTTCCATTACATAGACTGACCAAGTGAAAGCTATGATCCCTTTTTGATGTCACTTGTTAAATCCACTTCAATCAGTGTAGATGAAGGGGAGGAGACAGTTTAAAGAAGGATTTTTAAGCCTCGAGACAATTGAGACATGTATTGTGTATGTGTGCCATTCAGAGGGTGAATGGGCAAGTATTTTTTAACAGAGTATGGTAGTAGTATGTCAAGAACTGCAATGCTGCTGGGTTTTTCACACTCAACAGTTTCCCGTGTTTACATTTACATTTAGCAGACGCTCTTATCCAAAGCGACTTACAAATTGGTGCATTCAACTTATGATAGCCAGTGGGACAACCACTTTTTATTTAATTTTATGGGGGGGTGGTGGAGGGGGGGGTAGAAGGATTACTTTTATACTATTCCAGGTATTCCTTAAAGAGGTAGGGTTTCAAGTGTCTCCGGAAGGTGGTCAGTCACTCCGCTGTCCTGGCGTCGTGAGGGAGCTTGTTCCACCATTGGGGTGCCAGAGCAGCGAATAGCTTTGACTGGGCTGAGCGGGAACTGTGCTTCCGTAGAGGTAGGGGGGCTAGCAGGCCAGAGGTGGATGAACGTAGTGCCCTCGTTTGGGTGTAGGGTCTGATCAGAGCCTGAAGGTAAGGAGGTGCCGTTCCCCTCACAGCTCCGTAGGCAAGCACCATGGTCTTGAAGTAGATGCGAGCCTCAACTGGAAGCCAGTGGAGTGTGCGGAGGAGCGGGGTCACATGAGAGAACTTGGGAAGGTTGAACACCAGACGGGCTGCAGCGTTCTGGATAAGTTGTAGGGGTTTAATGGCACAGGCAGGGAGCCCAGCCAACAGTGAGTTGCAGTAATCCAGACGGGAGATGACAAGTGCCTGGATTAGGACCTGTGCCGCTTTCTGTGTAAGGTAGGGTCGTACTCTGCGAATGTTGTAGAGCATGAACCTGCAGGATCGGGTCACCGCTTTGATGTTAGCGGAGAACGACAGGGTGTTGTCCAGGGTCACGCCAAGGTTCTTTGCACTCTGGGAGGAGGACACAATGGAGTTGTCAACCGTGATGGCGAGATCATGGAGTGGGCAGTCCTTCCCCGGGAGGAAGAGCAGCTCAGTCTTGCCGAGGTTCAGCTTGAGGTGGTGATCCGACATCCACACTGATATGTCTGCCAGACATGCAGAGATGCGATTCGCCACCTGGTTATCAGAAGGGGGAAAGGAGAAAATTAATTGTGTATCATCTGCATAGCAATGATAGGAGAGACCATGTGAGGATATGACAGAGCCAAGCTCAATTTTAGTCTCATCTGACCAGAGTACCTTCTTCAATATGTTTGGGGAGTCTCCCACATGCCATTTGGCGAACACCAAACGTGTTAAGCAATGGCTTTTTTCTGGCCACTCTTCCGTAAAACCCAGCTCTGTGGAGTGTATGGCTTAAAGTGGTCCTATGGACAGATACTCCAATCTCCGCTGTGGAGCTTTGCAGCTCCTTCAGGGTTATCTTTGGTCTCTTTGTTGCCTCTCTCATTAATGCCCTCCTTGCCTGGTCCGTGAGTTTTGGTGGGCGGCCCTCTCTTGGCAGGTTTGTTGTGGTGCCATAGACTTTCCATTTTTTTATAATGGATTTAATGGTGCTCCGTGGGATGTTCAAAGTTTCTGATATTTTTTTATTACCCAACCCTGATCTGTACTTCTCCACAACTTTGTCCTTGACCTGTTTGGAGAGCTCCTTGGTCTTCATGGTGCCGCTTGCTTGGTGGTGCCCCTTGCTTAGTGGTGTTGCAGACTCTGGGGCCTTTCAGAACAGGTGTATATAAACTGAGATCATGTGACAGATCATGTGACATTAGATTGCACACAGGTGGATTTTATTTAACTAATTATGTGACTTCTGAAGGTAATTGGTTGCACCAGATATTATTTAGGGGCTTTATAGCAAAGGGTGTGAATATATATGCACGCACCACTTTTCCGTTATTTATTTTTTAGAATCAAGTGATTTTTTTCATTTTGAACTATTTTGTGTATGTCCATTACATGAAATCCAAATAAAAATACATTTAAATTACAGGTTGTAATGCCAAGGGGGTTAATACTTTTGCAAGGAACTGTACGTACTGTACATGCGTGCGTGCGTGCATGTGTGTGTGTGTGTGTGTGTGTGTAAATTATGCATATGTCTATGGTGTATGTAGGCACCTGAGCTGAGCCATAAGGGAAACTGGGCATCTACCACCCCACTATCAGTTAGGGGGGGCAATGTTTGCTTTTTGTCCAGCCCCCACTTTTGATCTGAAATCACCACCACCCATGAATTAATTTGTCATTTTTGCAGATTAAAAGTGTTAGCGCTAGTAATGTATCACTATTTATATTTTAAAAATTAGCTATGACATAGCCAATGAATATATAGCACCTCTGGATTTCACCCCAGTCTCATAATCGAATGGTTTAGACCATTTGGAAGTTGATGGACTAGGAGTGAGCTTCTCTTCTTCTCCCGCTTTGACCATGCAGTGCAGGTATAAAAGTGATTGCTGTCCTCTTTATGAAATCATTAACTTTACCCTGTATAAAATGACCATATATACTGATTGTTTCAAGCAAAACTACCCAAATTATTGCTGATGGTGAACCTGAACAATCGAACAGCCTCTTAAAGAAGTTGTTACAGGTCTGTGAGAGCCAGAAAACTTGCTTGTTTGTAGGTGACCAAATACTTATTTTCCACCATAATTTGCAAATAAATTCATTAAAAATCCTACAATGTGATTCTCTGGGAAAAAAATTCTCAATTTGTCTGTCATAGTTGACGTGTACCTATGATGAAAATTACAGGCCTCTCTCTTTTTTTTAAGTGGGAGAACTTGCACAATTGGTGGCTGACTAAATACTTTTTTCCCCCACTGTATAGCCAGATGAGAGTTGCGTCTCCGGTGGTACCTTAGGCTACTTTTATAAAAAACACATTTTTCAACAGTGCATTTGATAAGTAATAACCTAGCAAATTGGTTGTCACTCAACTAATAAAGCCTAACACTGCGCAAGACATTTTACAGATATTTAAATGATGAAGGTGACGCACAGATGTGCAAGATCAGGAATAGGCCTACAGTGAGGGAAAAAGGATTTGATCCCCTGCTGATTTTGTACGTTTGCTCACTGACAAAGAAATGATCAGTCTATAATTTTAATGGTAGGTTTATTTGAACAGACGATTCGCAGAATAACAACAAAAAAATCCAGAAAAACGCATGTCAAAAATGTTATGAATTGATTTGCATTTTAATGAGGGAAATAAGTATTTGACCCCTCTGCAAAACATGACTTACTACTTGGTGGCAAAACCCTTGTTGGCAATCACAGAGGTCAGACGTTTCTTGTAGTTGGCCACCATGTTTGCACACATCTAGGAGGGATTTTGTCCCACTCCTCGTTGCAGATCTTCTCCAAGTCATTAAGGTTTCGAGGCTGACGTTTGGCAACTCGAACCTTCAGCTCCCTCCACAGATTTTCTATGGGATTAAGGTCTGGAGACTGGCTAGGCCACTCCAGGACCTTAATGTGCTTCTTCTTGAGCTACTCCTTTGTTGCCTTGGCCATGTGTTTTGGGTCATTGTCATGCTGGAATACCCATCCACGACCCATTTTCAATGCCCTTGCTGAGGGAAGGAGGTTCTCACCCAAGATTAGATGGTACATGACCCCGTCCATCATCCCTTTGATGCGGTGAAGTTGTCCTGTCCCCTAAGTAGAAAAACACCCCCAAAGCATAGGCAGCATTCCTCCTCCTCCAAACACGGCGAGTTGATGCCAAAGAGCTCGATTTTGGTCTCATCTGACCACAACACTTTCACCCAGTTCTCCTCTGAATCATTCAGATGTTCATTGGCAAACTTCAGACGGCCCTGTATATGTGCTTTCTTGAGCAGGGGGACCTTGCAGGCGCTGCAGGATTTCAGTCCCTCACAGCGTAGTGTGTTACCAATTGTTTTCTTGGTGACTATGGTCCCAGCTGCCTTGAGATGATTGACAAGATCCTCCCGTGTAGTTCTGGGCTGATTCCTCACCGTTCTCATGATCATTGCAACTCCACGAGGTGAGATCTTGCATGGAGCCCCAGGCCGAGGGAGATTGACAGGTCTTTTGTGTTTCTTCCATTTGCGAATAATCGCACCAACTGTTGTCACCTTCTCACCAAGCTGCTTGCCGATGGTCTTGTAGCCCATTCCAGCCTTGTGTAGGTCTACAATCTTGTCCCTGACATCCTTGGGGAGCTCTTTGGTCTTGGCCATGGTGGAGAGTTTGGAATCTGATTGATTGATTGGTTCTGTGGACAGGTGTCTTTTATACAGGTAACAAGCTGAGATTAGGAGCACTCCCTTTAAGAGTGTGCTCCTAATCTCAGCTCGTTACCTGTATAAAAGACACCTGGGAGCCAGAAATCTTTCTGATTGAGAGGGGGGTCAAATACTTATTTCCCTCATTAAAATGCAAATCAATTTAAAACATTTTTGACATGCGTTTTTCTGGATTTTTTTGTTGTTATTCTGTCTCTCACTGTTCAAATAAACCTACCATTAAAATTATAGACTGATCATTTCTTTGTCAGTTGGCAAACGTACAAAATCAGCAGGGGATCAAATACTTCTTTCCCTCACTGTACCTCTCATTGGTCAGCACGTGAAGCTGCGCAGTGTGACTAGGCTACTGATATTGCCTGGTGTTGTTCAGCATGCATAATGACTTGTAGATCAGGGACTGTCAACACAATTACATGCTTAGTTCGACACTGAAGGAGAGGGAGCAGTTGTCACAAAAGATGAGAGTTATTTTCGGAAGGTAGACAGAAAGTAATTTGAGCCCCAGAAAAATGTGAACCGACGATTCGCAAAGTTTTAATCGATTTCCTGATGAATGCCTGCTACATTTGGATCGCTTTGGGGTCCCGCAGACCGATGCACTCATATCTTAAACATTTGAACCAGTGACAGATGCATATTGGTGAATCGTTACATCCCTAACACAGAGGTAGTTGCTGCTCTAAAGCAATACTCTCGCTTTCATCCAATCAAATGTGCCAGGTGCATGCTGAACACAAACGGTGGAGACCCTCTACTTCCATAAACAGGAAGAGAGGTGGGTATAACCACAAGCTCCAGGGCGCGACAACACATTTTCCGCTGACCCTTGGCATGAAGGGTGGGTTTGGGTACCAAGGAGGACCCCAGGGGTAAACTGAAGGTACGAACAGTGGGCTGACAGTGTGTTGCAGCCCCCTCACTCGCTTTGTAGGCGTAGTGTAGATGGCAAAGTGGGTTAGAAAGAGAAGTATTACATCTCTTAGCTTTTCAGTTGCTCAAGAGGCCACCATGAGAAAGCCTCAAGCACAATAGACGGGTCCCAGTGACGGGGCTAAATGCTTAAAGAAAAAAAGACAAAAGGCATCACATGGGTATTAGTCCATCGCCATTATGTGAGTTCGGGCACACATTGAGAGATAATAAGCAACTAATTATCTCAAACACTGAGCACAATGACATTTAATCAATTACAAATTACATGACCCTCCCCTGAACTAAATTTAAAAAAATACTAAACCCTCCCCATGACTGAAATTGAAAAAGCATGACCCTCCCCCATTTTCCTCCGGATAACAATTGTGTACATTTTGACCGCTCCAGAATGCTCTTTTAGTGTAAGAGGTGTTTCAAAGACCAATAAGGTGTTTAATAGACCAATAAGAGAGTTCCAAACCTCTCTCCCAATAACATCTAATTTTCCGTTTTCACCGGCCCGCCTCAGAGCACTCCCAGACAGTCCTACAAAAATTCGTGCTTGAGAAATTGCTCTTTGGTAAGAAGCTACTGTTGTTTCTTTTTGACAATTTTAATTTAAAACAAATCACAGTATTGTTACCCAGAAATTATTTGATATTGAGCTAAAAACGGCTGCATTGGAACTTTAATTGACAACCACAAAATCAACATTTTGCAATGGCCATATCAGTCTCTGGACTTGAACCCTGTTGAAAGCCTGTGATTTGAATTGAAGAGGGCAGTCCATAAGCGCAGACTAAGGATATCAAGGATCTGGAAGGATTGTGTATGGAGGAATGGTCTAAGATCCCTCCCAATGTGTTCTCCAACCTCATAAAACATTTTAGAAAAAGGCTCAGTGTAGTTATCCTCGCAAGGGGAGGGTGCCAGAGTATTGAAAAAGGGGATCCAATCATTTTGACACCGATCTTTCTCTGTGCAATTATATTAGTATAAAATAATATTTTTTGAGCATACAATATAGCTCAGTATCTGTATTATTTCAGTCTTTTTTTCTCATCTTCATCAAGGGATCCAATAATTCCGGACCACACTGTATACACACACACACACACACACGCTGTTTTAGTCTTCTCTGGATCAATAAGACATGCTATTTTCTTTCTGTGTTGGCTGAAACTTCTCCTTTTACTGTGGATGATTCACATCTCCAATGATACAAACAATTTGACATCAATTATAAAAATAACATACAAAATAATGCATCTGTGTGTGCCTGTGTACTGTTCAGTCTTTGTACAGGGCTGCCAATGTGGTCCAGGTCCATCCAGGTTCCTTCGGCTGGAGGTGCACTACCACAACCCACTTCTCATCTCAGGTATCACAGAATTACACTAATTTACCCATCCCTCAGCCTTTGAGTACAGCTGATTTGATTTTCTACCTGGTTGTTAATTGATCAAGTCATGTCACTGATTGACAAGAGTCCACACACCTGGTGTTACCTGATTGAAGGGAGAGCATGAAAACCAAAAGTACCAGTTGTATACCCCTGCTCTAAAAAGTCTCCCCATATCCCTGCTTCTTCCTTTGAATCCACTACCATCATCCTCATTCTACTCAACTTCATCTCTCCCCTCCCCATGTCATCCATCACTCTCTATTCCTCTACCCCTTCTTCTTAAACCCCATCCCCTCTCTACCTCATCTTTTATCCCATCCCCCACTCAACCAGTCTTCTCCTCTTTCCTTCTCCCTCCATCACCCTTTCTACCACTACATCTCCTCCCTCGGTCTCCTTTTACTCCCTCCCCCACTCCACCTCCTCCCTCTACCGCTCAATCCCACCTGCCTCCCCTTCCTCTCTGACTGGTTGTACTCCGTCCCCTGCAGGTCGTAAGGACAACTCAGGGGTGCGCCTGTACTATACCCCCAGCTCGAGGCGGTACAACGCAGGCATCATGGAGCTGGGGCTGGTCTATATCCCGGTCATGGTCATACCACCGAGAGAGCAGAACTTTCAGCTTACAGGATACTGCACGTCCAACTGTATACAAACTGTTAGGGTTTATGTTAGAAGGATATTGTACTAACTCTAAGAAAATAAGTGTACAGAGACAGTAGGCTACAATATACCTCAGAGATAGCTATGGTACAGGAGTTTTTCCTGGTCAGGTAAAATGGTCCTTGACCTTCAATATCAATAGAAACTTAGTAGTAACACTTTACTCAAAACCAACAGGTGAAAAGCATTAAGATGTGGTTGTAATGCATTTTAATACTTGTCATAAGCATGTATGATCCCTTATGTGTAATTATAATTTCATAATGATACTAATTACAGTGCTATATCTGCAGTAGGCCTACAGTTGTTATCCATCAATAATGATAAGCCACCAGGTATAGACAACCTTGATGGGAAACTATTGAGAAAGGTGGCAGACTGTATTGCCACCCCATTTGCCATATATTTAACCAAAGCCTAAAGGAGTGTGTGTGTTCGCAGGCGTGGAAGGAAGCTAAAGTTCTCTACATTGCCAAAAGTATGTGGACAGTATGTGCTCGTCGAACATCTCATTCCAAAATCATGGGCATTAATATGGAGTTGGTCCCCCCTTTTCCTGCTAGAACAGCCTCCACTCTTCTGGGAAGGCTTTCCACTAGGTGTTGGAACATTGCTGCGGGGACTTGCTTCCATTCAGCCACAAGAGCATTAGTGAGGTCGGGCACTGATGTTAGGCGATTAGGCCTGGCTCAGAGTCGGCGTTCCAATTCATCCCAAAGGTGATAGATTGGGTTAAGGTTAAGTTCTTCCACACCGATGTCGACAAACAATTTTTGTATGGACCTCGCTTTATGCACGGGGGCATTGTCATGCTGAAACAGGAAAGGGCCTTCCCCAAACTGTTGCCATAAAGTTGGAAACACAGAATCGTCTAGAATGTCAGTGTATGCTGTAACGTTAAGATTTCCCTTCACTGGAACTAAAGGGCCTAGCCCGAACCATGAAAAACAGCCCCAGACCATTATTCCTCCTCCACCAAACTTTACAGTTGGCACTATGCATTCGGGCAGGTAGTGTTCTCCTGGCATCCGCCAAACCCAGATTTGTCCGTCGGACTGCCAGATGGTGAAGCGTGATTCATCACTCCAGAGAACACGTTTCCACTGCTCCAGAGTCCAATGGCGGCGAGCTTTACACCACTCCAGCCGACGCTTGGCATTGCGCATGGTGATCTTAGGCTTGTGTGTGGCTCCTCGGGCATGGAAACCCATTTCATGAAGCTCCCGACAAAGAGTTATTGTGCTGACATTGCTTCCAGAGGCAGTTTGGAACTCGGTAGTGTGTGTCACAACCGAGGACAGATGATTTTTACGTTCTACGTGCTTCTGCACTCGGTGGTCCCGTTCTGTGAGCTTGTGTGGCCTACCACTTCGCGGCTGAGCTGTTGTTGCTCCTAGACGTTTCCACTTCACAATAACAGCACTTACAGTTAACCGCTGCAGTTGTGGCAGGGCAGAAATTTGACGAACTGACTTGTTGGAAAGGTGGCATCCTATGACGGTGCCATGTTGAAAGTCACTGAGCTCTTCAGTAAGGCCATTCTACTGCCAATGTTTGTCTATGGAGATTACATGGCTGTGTGCTCGATTTTATAAATCCGTCAGCAACGGGTGTGAAATAGCAGAATCCACTCATTTGAAAAGGTGTCCACATACTTTTGTATATATAATGTAATTCCACTGCCTACAAATAGTAAATCACCATTTGCTGACTCTAACAGCTGCCCAATCAGTTTGCTGCCTGTTCTTAGTAAACTGATGGAGTGGATTGTGTTTGACTGAATACAATGCTATTTTTCAGAGAACAAGTTAACTACTCACTTTCCGCATGCATATAGAGAAGGGCACTAAACTTGTAATCCACTGACTCAGATGACTGATGATTAGTTAAAATAAATGGATAATAAGATGATAGTTGGAGCTGTATTGTTAGATTTCAGTTCAGGCTTTGATGTTATTGATCATAAATTGTTATTTTAAAAAACTCACTTGCTATGGCTTTACAGCACCTGCCATCACATGGTTGGATAGGTATTTATCCAATAGAACCCAGAGAGTGTTCTTCAATGGAAGCTTCTCTAACATCAGATATGTACAGTGCGGTGTCCCTCAGGGCAGTTGCCTTGGGCCGTTACTCTTCTCTATTTTTACAAGTGATTTTCCACTGGTCTTACACGAAGCTAGAATTACTATGTATGCAGATGGTTCCACACTCTACATGTCAACACCCAAAGCCAGTGAGCTCACTGAAATTTCAAATTATTCTCTAAGACCTAAACCTCAACTGGAGTTGTACATAAAGGGTGCGACCATTGAGCAAGTTGAGGAAGCTAAACTCTTAGATATAACATTAGATGGTCAATTATAATGGGCAAGTCATATTGACAAAGTTGTTGTGAATATGGTTATGGGAGAGGGCTATAAAAATATGATTTTTGTGTAAAATACGCAGACCAACTGTAGTTGTTGTTCTGGCTCTGCTCTTGTCCCATCTCGATTACTGTCCGGTAATATGGTAAAGCGCAGCAAAGAAAGACCTGGCAAAGCTGTAGCTGGCTCAAAACAGAGCAGCACGCCTTGCCCTTAACTGCACATACAGAATTAACACCAACAACATGCATGGCAGTCTTTCCTGGTTGAGGGTGGACGAGAGATTAACTGCTTCTCTTCTAGTTATGAGAAATACAGTGTTACTGTGACAAAAATTCCAGATTGTCTTCATAATCAAATTGACAAAAATTCCAGATTGTCTGCATAATCAAATAACATTCAGCACCGACAACTATACATACCCCACAAGAGATGCCACCAGAGGTCTCTTCACAGTCCCCAAGTCCAAAACGAATTCACAGCAACACAGTTTTATACAGAGCCATGATCGCATGGAACTCCCTTCCATCTCCAAATACTCAAGCAAACAGCAAAATTACCTATAAAAAAAACTGATTAAAAAAAAAACTCATGGAACTACGGCGACTGTGAGGGGACACAAACACTAACACACATTATTTTGTTGTATTGTTTGTATTATTTTTTAGTAGTTGCATTGTTTGTATATCGTTATTTGTGTTACTGTCCTTGTCTATCAGTGTATCAGTGTTTTGTTACTTGTCGTGTTTTTTGTGGACCCCAGGAAGAGGAGCTGCTGCTTCTGCAAAAGCTAATGGGGATCCAAATAAACACAAACAAATAACAAACAGTATCTCAGTACAAATGAAACTGAATAAAATCGAATTCCTCTCTTGACCTCCACCAGGCCCTGCCTCCAGGGGGGATTAAAATATTTGTATCCCAGCTGCACACTCACCTGGCTGGGAGAGGGGTGAGGACTGTCCTGGTGAGGGGTGGAAGAGAGGTGGAAGTAGTACAGGAGAACAAGCATTTCAGCACCCACTATCAGGTAACACCTCTGGGTACACATGCACCAACAAACGCATGCAACCAAGAAACACACACACACACACACACACACACACACACACACACACACACACACACACACACACACACACACACACACCCTCCCACATAACACCTGGACAGAGCTCTCTCTCTCTGTCAGTTTCAGGTCAGGTAAAGTAGGGCATCAGTAAGTGCTGACTGTCTGTCTGGCATCTGTTAGGGTACTGCTAAATGCTCCAGGCTTTAGTGAGGTAGGACACATACACATCTTTTGGGCTTCTGCAGAACACAACACAGTACTGGTGTCTGCCGTGAGACTCGTCTGCCTGTAATACAACTCTTTCCTATGTCTCAAGCTTCTCTAAGCAGTCTCCAAACTTCTCTGAGTGGTATACAAACAAGACACTGCCCACTGGGCACACACTGGTTGAATCAACGTTGTTTCCACGTAATCTCAATCTGGGTGGTGTCAAGTGAGACTCTCTCCACTGCCCTGTATTCAGCTCATAGACTAGACAAGAGACAACACTGAGTGACATAAAAACAAGAAATCACTGTGGTGTCAAATGAGACTCCCCTGCCTCTATTGCATTCAGCCCCTCTAACTAATCTAGAGACAAGACAACTATGAGCGACCTAAAAACAAGAAATCACTGTGGGATAGTGTTGTGTTTTGAGAACAATCTAATGGATGTGTTTGTGAAGTATTTTTGTTGTCGTCTCCTCCAGATAGTCAGAATGCTAAGAAAGATGGTTACTGTGCTGCCTGCAAGTATGTTGGCTCCTCTTTTTACTGTCACAACTGTCTAAGGAGGTGGAATAAGATTAGATACATTTCAGTGTGTGTGCATGAGTGTGTTCGGCGTGCGTGTGGGGAATAAGATGACACAGTTAAGGGAACAGTGAAAGACAGAAGGGACTATTACAGACATGGAAAGGAAGGAAATGCCTGAGGACATAAGACAAAAACGCTGATACATAATACTGCTACAGTCTGTCACTGCATCTGCTCTGCTGCCAGACAACAAAGATGCAGAGTTGCCTGTTTTAAAACGAACAACGCAAATATTCTGTAAACCACAGCACACTTGTTGTTAGTTTGATATCGCATATGACTAGAAGTGGAAACACATCTGCCCGAACATTGCCTGATTTGAGTGTGTGTTTGTGTGTCCTCCCCATAGGGTGATGTCCTCCTGACAAAGTGTACATACAACACAGAGGACAGGACCCAGCCTACAGTAGTGAGTATGCTACAGTATGTTTATATTGCAGGTGCAGCCATGCACGGAGACACGTGTATCAATAAAGAATATTGTACATGTTTATATAGCACGCAAGTGGAGACACACCTCACACACACACACACAGTGTCATGAGTAGCTTATATACACTAACTGTAGCCAACCAGCTCTATGGGTTTAATGTAGGCATATCCTCCAACCACAGACAGGGCTCAGAGGCTCTACTTTGAGAGGATCTACTGCCCAGCCCAGATTTCACTAATCTGGGTTCAGACACAGTGGGATGTTCAGAGCAGTGTACAGCTGCATTGGGCTGCTGTCTGCTGATGGTGCTGCACACACACGTGCACGCGCACAGACAGAGACAAGACAGACAGAGACAGACACAGACCAACAGAGAGACAGACAGACACACACAGTGCTGCCTGCTGTTTCCGAGGTTATTAGGACAGAGGTAAGCCTAGGAACCTGACCTCTCTCTCCCTCCCTCTCTATTTCTCTCTCCCTCTCCTCATGTTGATCCAGGGAGGCTTTGGGATCATGGAGGAGATGTGTGTGAACTATGAACTACTATCCCCGGACTCAACTGGAGCTGTGCAAGAGCAACGTGGACCCTGGCTACTTGCAAAAGTACATTAGCTTCATCAACAAGTAACACACACACACACCAACGCAAGCGTGCATACCAACCTGGAAGTAAATCTGTCTCCCTCCAATAAGTATGATACAGTGCATTCGGAAAGTATTCAGACCCCTTGACCTTTTCCACTTTGTTACGTTACAGCCTTATTCTAAAACAGATTAAATTGTTTTCCCCCCCCTCATCAATCTACACTCAATACCACATAATGACAAAGCAAAAACAGGTTTGTAGAAATGTTTGCACATTTATTAAAAATAAAATGGAAATATGACTTTTACATAAGTATTCAGACCCTTTACTCAGTACTTTGTTGAAGCACCTTTGGCAGCGATTACAGCCTCGAGTCTTCTTGGGTATGACACTACAAGCTTGGCACACCTGTATTTGGGGAGCTTCTCCCATTCTTCTCTGCAGATCCTCTCAAGCTCTGTCAGGTTGGATGGGGAGCGTCGCTGCACAGCTATTTTCAGGTCTCTTCAGAGATGTTCGATCAGGTTCAAGTCCGGGCTCTGGCTGGGCCACTCAAGGACATTCAGAGACTTGTCCCGAAGCCACTCCTGCGCTGTCTTGGCTGTGTGCTTTGGGTCGTTGTCCTGTTGGAAGGTGAACTTCGCCCCAGTCTGAGGTCCTGAGCAGGTTTTCATCAAGCATCTCTCTACTCTTTGCTCCATCCATCTTTCCCTTGATCCTGACTAGTCTCCCAGGCCCTGCTGCTGAAAAACATCCCCACAGCATGATGCTGCCACCACCATGCTTCACCTTAGGGATGGTGCCAGGTTTCATCCAGACGTGACACTTGGCATTCAGGCCAAAGAGTTCAATCTTGGTTTCATCAGACCAGAGAATCGTGTTTCTCATGGTCTGAGAGTCCTTTAGGTAACTTTTGAAAAACTCCAAGCGGGCTGTCATATGCCTTTTACTCAGGAGTGGCTTCCGTCTGGCCACTCTACCATATAGGACTGATTGGTGGAGTGCTGCAGAGATGGTTGTCCTTCTGGAAGGTTCTACCATCTCCACAGAGGAATTCTGGAGCTCTGTCAGAGTGACCATTGGGTTCTTGGTCACCTCCCTGACCAAGGCGCTTCTCCCCCAATTGTTCAGTTTGGCCGGGTGGCCACTGTGTTCTCGGGGACCTTCAATGCTGCATACATTTTTTGGTACCCTTCCCCACATCTGTGCCTCAACACAATCTTGTCTCTGAGCTCTACGGACAATTCCTTCAACCTCATTGCTTGTTTTTTGCTCTGACATGCACTGTCAACTATGGGACCTTATATAGACAGGTGTGAGCCTTTCCAAATCATGTCCAATCAATTGAATTTACCACAGGTGGACTCCAATCAAGTTGTAGAAACACCTCAAGGATGATCAATGGAAACAGGATGCATCTGAGCTCAATTTCTAGTCTTATAGCAAAAAGGGTCTGAATACTTATGTAAATAAGGTATTTCTGTTTTTTTATTTCTTAACCTGTTTTTGCTTTGTCGTTATGGGGTATTGTGTGTAAATTGATGAGGACTTGTATTTATTGAATCCATTTTAGAATAAGGCTGTAACGTAACAACATTTTGAAAAAGTGATACGAATTTGTAATGCCTATAATATGTTACGAGTTCCAATTTGTTGTGGCTAATGTTAGTTAGGTGGCTAACATTAGCTAGGCTAGAGGTTAGGGTTAGGGTTAGGGGTTAAGGTTAGGGGAAGGGTTAGCTTACATGCTAAGTAGTTGCAAAGTAGTATGTAGTTCCAAAGTTGCTAAGTAGCTAAAATACTAATGTTGTCCGAGATGTGATTCGAACAGGTAACATTTGGGTTGCTAGACGTTTGCGTTATACGCCCACCCATCCTCCCAAACCAACCTCCCTCCTTTTGTTTTTGGCTTAAGTAACCTTCTGTCTTATGTAACCATACCATGTTATGTAACCGTAACATATTATACTAATTTGAGTGGCACAGATTTAGGTTTACTATGTTACATCTTTGAGGCCAAGCCAGGCTGCACACACACACACACACACACACACACACAATACTGTAGCTTCATCTGCTGGTAACACATGCACAGGATAGCTAATAGGAGACACCCATCCTCTTTATTAAGAAGAGTTAGCTGCCATCTTTAACCGATCATACACTGTATCTTCATTTTTTGTTTTGCTGACTCTACTACCATTATAGAAACAATCTCTCGAGACCAATCAATCTTCTCCACATCAAACAGCTCTTATGTTAAGCAGATTAAATCAACTCACACATCACACTAACCAGCAGAAGACACTTGGTTTCCCGATAGCAATGGAACTAAAAGGGATACTTCGGGATTTTGGCAATAAGGCCCTTTATCTACTTCCCAGAGTCAGTTGTGGATACCATTTGTATGTCTCTGTGTTCAGTATGAAGGAAGTTAGAGGTAGTTTAGAGTGTTTTAACAATGCATCATTACTATAATGGCCAAAGACGTCACATGCGTTTCCCAAAATACTACAGTGGGAAAGTTCACTAAGTGTGTCGTTGGAGCAAGTGTCGATATTGATATCGAAAGAAAGGCATCACTGCTCTCAGATCAGCTTTCTCCATTCATATCTTAACATTAGAATTGTTCCACAATACTGACTACGAATCAGCTCCTAGAGTGCTTCGGCCAACCCTATAATAATGCACAAAATCACAGATTTGGCACATCATTGAGCATGTTGTTACACATCATGAACTATATTGAGGCAAAAATGACAGACGGTACCCTACAATCAGCAAAATAGAACTCAATTGATTGAACATGAAAGGTATTTATTTCAATATGATTGAATTATATAGGCCTATGCAGCCAAATACTGGATTTGTATTTTAATGCAGTCATCTGTTTTCATTTGAAGCATCCTTTTATCCTTCGCTTGTTTGTAACAATTGCAAAGACATTACCAACTTCGTTCTGAAGTTATCAGGAGAAACACTTTTCATGCCACTTCAATATAGCTATAACCGGAAGTGACTTTTTCGTAGCAGGTTAGGAGAACTTATGCAGCAGGTTAGGAGAATTAGGCTAAGGTTAGGAAAATAGTTAGGGTTAGCGAAAATGCTCTCCTAACCTGCTACGAAAATAACTTCCGGTCGCAGCTGTATTAAAGTGGCGGTTATAGGCGGTCACAGAAAGACAGATAAACATCCTGATTCTATGTTTAGCGGTGATCTTCTATGTATAAAGTGATGCGTAATGGCAAAAAAAAAGCATCTGACGACACACTTACAGCTACAGTAGCTGTAACTGTTCTACCAGTGGTCTGGGGCAGATGGTTAATAGCGATTTCAAGTGCAACTTTAGTACGATTGTTTTGGAAACCGGCTCAGAGATTTAACGATGCTCCTAGGTTCTAACGATTAACTTAGCCTTAAGATGCTTTTGGGAAACCGGGCCCTGCAAAACATACCAACACATACAATAATGTCAACCTGATCCATATTAAGCCACATCCTTATGCTGATGCACTTTTTACAACAAAGCTCTGTCTATCAGGGAGTTACAATATAAGCATGACCATGCTTGGTCACTTAATGTCTCATCCACCCTCACTGCCCTCTCATTCTCCCCCTCTCCCTTTGTGTCCCTCCCTCCCTCCCTCCTCTCAGGTTCCAGGGTGGTGATGTGTGTAGCTGTGGTCAGACCAGTGTGACCGACCAGTTCACCGCTTTGTCCTGGGACTCCTTCAGTGGAGAGGAGCTCAACAATCTCTACAATACCGCTCCCATCTCCATGGTCTGTAACCAGTCCTCCGCCAAGCTATTCTCTGTAAGTACACCCCCGTCATCGCAAGAACTGTTCGTCGGGAGCTTCATGAAATGGGTTTCCATGGCCGAGCAGCCGCACACAAGCCTAAGATCACCATGTGCAATGCCAAGCGTCGGCTGGAGTGGTGTAAAGTACTTAAGTAAAAATACTTGAAAGTACTACTTAAGTTATTTTGGGGGGTATCTGTACTTTACTATTTCTATTTTTGACAACTTTTACTTTACTACATTCCTAAAGAAAATTATGTACTTTTTACTCCATACATTTTCCCTGACACCTAAAAGTAGTCATTACATTTTGAATGCTTAGCAGGACAGGAAAATTGCCTAATTCACACACTTATCCAGAGAACATCCCTTCAATTGTAAAGGAGCATGCCCCTGGCTATCCGTAAATAAAAAAGAACAAGAAAATGATGCCGTCTGGTTTGCTTTATATAAGGAATTTGAAATTATTTATACTTAAGTGTATTTAAAACCAAATACTTTTACTCAAGTAGTATTTTACTGGGTGACTTACACTTTTACTTGAGTCATTTTCTATTAAGGTATCTTTACTTTTACTCAAGTATGACAATTGGGTACTTTTTCCACCACTGTTCGCCGCCATTGGACTCTGGAGCAGTGGAAACGTGTTCTCTGGAGTGATGAATCACGCTTCGCCATCTGGCAGTCCGACAGACGAATCTGGGTTTGGCGGATGCCAGGAGAACGCTACCTGCACCAATGCATAGTGCCAACTGTAAAGTTTGGTGGAGGAGGAATAATGGTCTGGGGCTGTTCTTCATGGTTCGGGCTAGGCCCCTTAGTTCCAGTGAAGGGAAATCTAAATGTTACAGCATACAATTACATTCTAGATGATTCTGTGGTTCCAACGTTGTGGCAACAGTTTGGGGAAGGCCCTTTCCTGTTTCAGCATGACAATGGCCCCATGCTCAAAGCGAGGCCCATACAGAAATGGTTTGTCGAGATCGGTGTGGAGGAACTGGACTGGCCTGCCCAGAGCCCTGACCTCAACCCCATCGAACACATTTGGGATGAATTGGAACGCCGACTGCGAGCCAGGCCTAATCGCCCAACATCAGTGCCCGACGTCGCTAATGCTGGTGGCTGAATGGAAACAAGTCCCCGAGGCAATGTTCCAACATCTAGTGGAAAGCCTTCCCAGAAGGGTGGAAACTGTTAAAGCAGCAAAGGGGGGACCAACTCCATATTAAATGGCCATGAATTTGGAATTTACAGTAGCAGTTTACCACAGTGCTCTATGAAATGAGGGTGGCAGGTAGCCTAGCGGGTACAGCGTTGGGCCATTAAACCGAAAGGTGGTTGGTTCGAATACCTGAGCTGACAAGGTGTAAAATCTGTTAATGTGCCCTTGAGGAAGGCACTTAACCCTAATTTGCTCAAGGGGCGCCGTATTACTATGGCTGACTCTGTAAAACAACGGGTTTTTTTTTTATGACTGGGGATGTGTGTTTCTGACTGGCTGATGGCAGCTGGGCTAGTGACAGATATAGACAGGGCCAGTGGCAGGGGAGGGAGGCGGTGAGTGAGTATTTCATTTACCATGACATCCTCACCTGAACCTGCGCCCTTGGTCTCAGGCTGAATCGTGCAGCCCTCCCTGCCAACCAGGTCCCAGTGTTTGGATGGGCATATGTATGCCAGGCTGGCACAGCCCATCGTCAGGGACCTGCGTGACTGGAGACTAACTGTACCATACAGGGGATATGCTCATAGAGAACCACTGCACAGACATATGCACAAATACCATGCATAACACACATGATCAAACACACAGTTCATTAGTTCAAATGTGGAGGTAACCATCACACGAGACAAGGCAAAAGTTAATAGTACATTTAAAGTCCTCACAGTACAATGTTGTTCACACAAACTTGTCACCTTGCGTGACTGTTTCTGTGGTCCTGTGACAGGGCGACTGGGAGAGGCAGGAGCTTCCTGTAGTGACATCACAGCTCCAGAGGCCCCTTTACCCATGTGAGGGAGGGGGAGGGGGGAGTGGGGGGGCAAACTCCCCTGCCAAAGCAGTGAGCCCATCATGGTGCAGCCCCCGGGAGACACCACCTCCCGTCTGAATATCAATACGCATCCGCATCCCCCCCCCCCCCCCCGGTGAAGTACTTCTCTACCACAAGTGCAGCGGATGGCACATCACATCCAGTTGATCCAATGGTATCATCACTCATCAAGATAGCATACAGTACTAGCATGATTTCATTATCACATTCACAGAATTAAAGAGAACACTATTATTATTATTGTATTATATCTAAATGATCACTTAACTCATGTATGTGAAAATGTAAGATCACATTGAAGTCAGACAACATTGAGTTAAGACCACATGACCCAGCTTGCCTTGCAACAACTGAAACGTTATGTTCAGTATACAAAGAACAGTCCAACTCAGTTCACAAAGAACAGAAAAAACGCTAAAACAAATGACATTGTCTATGCCAAATAGCTCATGGATTGTATTTGAAATTAATCAATAACGTGTATTGAGGAATTCACAGGCAAGCAGTTTTTCTATATTTTCCAGACAAGTAATATTTAATTCATGCATTATTAGAGTCCAATTCAGCAAGCAGTTTTCATTGGGTATCAGCACTGCAGTTAGCCTACACTAATATTAACACAATAAAAGCTAAGTTGAACCAATGGGATTGCAAAACATGCTCACCAATAGCAGCACCAGAGACATTAATGAAACTAAGAATTTATTGCAGTTTATACATGTTATTTTTTAGTAGTTCAAAAAAGCAAGGCACATTAAGTACAGTATATTACCCTGTGAACTATTTGTTAATCACTAACTTTAATATCATATTTTCTACTTGATAATCACAGAGATGATTTAAGACTTACAGAAAAAGAGTTCCCAAGCTGGTAACACCTCCAGCCATAAGAATAATATGGTGTTGAGGTATGGTACCGTAAGACTACCAAGCTTGCGACTAATCTGTGGTTCATGGGCTCTTTTTACATGGAATTATACCTCATTAATATGGACATAAAACAATGCTATTCTCAAGCTTAGCACCAGACAGAGACAAACATGTACCTCACATGATACTCCAACCAGACCTGGGTTCAAATAATATTTGACATAATTTCAAATACTTTAGCTGTGCTTGATTAAGCTTGCCTGTTGCAATTTAACCAATAGAAAAGTCCAGAAAAAAGTGCAAAACCCTGCCCACCTGGCACTCCTGGCAGGCTAGAGCAAAAGCTCAAAGTATTTGAAAGATTTCAAATAGTATTTGAACTCAGGTCCGACTCCAACATAGGGATATGCTGGGGGAGATCAGGGACATATACAAACAGGCACATTGTCCAATCACAATCACACCTTGATGTACATTATTGTGCGTTGGCTTTGTAAACGTTGTGGTAGTTGTCAGGGTAAATGCCCTTCACACGGTTGTTTGAGGGGTCAAAGGGCGACTTGAGGTGGGCCTTGGCCTCGTACACCACTCCCATCCTCTCCAGAGTGAACTTCCCACTCTTTATGAAGTCAGCATTTACCTGAGAGAGAGAATGAGCGAAAGAGAGCGAGAATGTGCAAAAGAGAGAGTGCAGATAGAGAGTGAGATGGAGATAAAATGAGTTTAGAGAGAGAGAAAAGAAAGGATAAAGAGCAGACACCGTTAAATCCACACCTTTACTCAGAGATAGAGGAACTCTTAATCCATCCTTAGATCTGAAAGCTTAGGGAATCTTAGACTGTTCCTAAGGATGTTAAAGTAAAGCATTACTTTGATATGCGACCTGACTCCTCTCTCCAAAAGCACGATTCCTGATTAGATACTGCAGGGCTCATCAACTGGCAGGCAAATTCGGCCCGCAACTGATTTTCTTTGGCCGCCGAAAGTTCTCAGAGCAAATTCTTAAAAATAGAAATACGTTATATATTTTAGAATGTTTGTTTTTTAAATAAAAGACTAAAACCAAGGTTTGAAATGATTATGTTTTAGTCAAATACAATATTTGGTTGGGCTGACTCAAGAAAAATTTAAAATAAAGTTTTTAGTTGATGATCCCTGAGAAACTGTATTTCATTGTTTCCCTTTCTATAGCCCTTTGCACTCGTACCCATATATACGGGTTGAAATGGCAGATTTGGGCACTGATAAACGGCAAAATTGGAATGTAGTGGCTGTACAGTAATATGCTATACATGACATCAGAGCTCTGGCTCTGCGCTTCACAGTGCTGTATGGGTTTTGATTGACAGCCGTTCTGAACTTGAGCCCCTCACGCTACAAGAAATGAAATCACATTTGATTTGTCACATGCTTAAAAAACAGTGAAATGAGGAACGAGGAATAAATAGAACAATAATAACAAGGAAATTCACAATGAGTAACGATAACATGGATATATACACGGGGTACCAGCACCGAGTCAATGTGCAGGGGTACGAGGTATTTGAGGTAGATATGTACATATAGGTAGGGATAAAGTAACTAGGCAATGGGATAGATAATGAACAGTAACAGCAGCGTATAATGAGTCAAAAGAGTTAGTGCAAAAAGGGTCAATGCAGATATTCCGGGTAGCTATTGGTTAACTATTTAGCAGTCTTATAGCAGGGGGGTAGAAGCTGTTCAGGTTCCTGTTGGTTCCAGACTTGGTGCATCGGTATCGCTTGCCATGCGGTAGCAGAGAGAACAATCTATGACTTGGGTGGCTGGAGTCTGACAATTTTTAGGGACTTCCTCTGACACCGCCTGGTATAGAGGTCCTGGATGGCAGGGAGCTCGGCCCTACGGGCCGTACGCACTACCCTCTGTAGCACCTTGCGGTCGGATGCCAAGCAGTTGCCATACCAAGCGGTGATGCAGCCAGTCAAGATGTTCTCAATGGTGCAGCTGTAGAACATTTTGAGGATCTGAGGGCCCAAGCAGAATCTTTTCAGCCTCCTGAGGGGGAAGAGGCGTTGTCGTGCCCTCTTCACAACTGTGTTGATGTTTGTGGCCCATGATAGTTCCTTAGTGATGTAGACACCGACAGCCCCGTCGATGTGGATGAAGGCCCTCCGTTTCCTGTAGTCCACGATCAGCTCCTTTGTCTTGACGTTGAGGGAGAGGTTGTTGTCCTGGGACTACACTGCCAGGTCTCGGACCTCCTCCCTGTAGGCTGTCTCATCGTCATCGGTGATCAGGCCTACCACAGTCATGTCGTCTGCAAACTTAATGATGGTGTTGGAATCGTGCACTGCCATGCAGTCTTGGGTGAACAGGGAGTAAAGGAGGGGACTAAGCAGCACCCCTTAGGGGCCCCCGTGTTGAGGGTCAGCGTGGCAGATGTGTTGTTGCCTACCCTCACCACCTGGGACAGCCCGTCAGGAAGTCCAGGATCCTTAGCTTAGTGTTGAGCTTGGAGGGCACAATGGTGTTGAACGCTGAGCTGTAGTCAATGAACAGCATTCTCACATAGGAGTTCCTTTTGTCCAGGTGGGAAAGGGCAGTGTGGAGTGCAATAGAGATTGCGTCATCTGTGGATCTGTTGTGGCTGTATTTGAATTGGAGTGGATCCAGGGTGTCTGGGATGATGGTGTTGTTGTGAGCCATTTCTTATAAGCGTCCGGATGAGTGTCCCGGTCATTGAAAGTGGCAGCTCTAGCCTTTAGCTCAGTGCGGATGTTGCCTGTAATCCATGGCTTCTGGTTGGGATATGTACGCACGGTCACTGTGGGGGACGTCGTCGTCGATGCACTTATTAATGAAGCCGGTGACTGATGTGGTAAACTCCTCAATGCCATCGGATGAATCCCAGAACATATTCCAGTCTGTGCTAGCGAAACAGTCCTGTAGCTTAGCATTCGCTTCATCTGACCACTTCCGTATTGAGCGAGTCACTGGTACTTCCTGTTTTGAGGAGGATAGAGTTAAGTTCAAATTTGCCAAATGGTGCGCGAGGGAGAGCTTTGTATGCGTCTCTGTGTGTAGAGTAAAAGTGATCTAGAGTTTTTGGCTCCATTTGCACAGGTGACATGCTGGTAGAAATGAGGTAAAACGGATTTCAGTTTTCCTGCATTAAAGTCGCTGGCCACTAGGAGCTCCACCTCTGGGTGAGCATTTTCTTGCTTGCCTATGGCCCTATAAAGCTCATTGAGTGCGGTCTTAGTGCCAGCATCGGTTTGGGGTGGTAAATATTGATTTAAACTCTTGGTAAATAGTGTGGTCTACAGTTTATCATGAGGTATTCTAACTCAGGCGAGCAGAACCTCGAGACTTCCTTAATATTAGAGATTGCCACACACCCCCTCTGAGCTTCCGACGCAGCTGTTCTGTCCTGCCGATGTATAGAAAAAACAGCTTGATTTATATAGACCATGTCCTTGTTCAGCCACGACTCCAAGAAACATAGTATATTACAGTTCTTCAGATCACGTTGATAGGATAGTCTCAAACAGAGCTCATCCTGATTCCAGTGATTCCATTTCTCCAGGGATCATAAAACTCATGTCATATGCAAATGTCAATGTTCATGATCACTATGTTTGATGTACAGTTTCAAGATGATATGGAGTCATACCCTGGGTTGTTCTGAACAGAAAGAGCTTGTTTGTCTATTCTGAAGAAAATTTGCCGTGGCACATGCACCTGAATGCACTCATGATCCTTTCTATGCGCACCAAAATTATGATCCGTTTCCCTGAATTGCATTGTGAAAGCCTAACACTGTAATATCGTATTTTATAACTTAGCTAGTCATGTTAGCAACAGGACAAGCTTTCAAATGATGCCCACCTGACCCAGATTGCGTATTAATAATGCACCGTTTTTGGATTGCAACAGTAATTGTGTGATGGCGGGGATGCAGGGTTGTGTTCCAAACAAAACAACTAAATGTGTGTTTGATCTAGTTCCTCAACGGCACAGCTAGGAGAGCTAAAAAAAACACCTTATAGTTGAAGACTCTTCTTTGAGTCATAAAAGTGCATTGAAATTACTTAGGAACTGTGCACACTTTGGAGAGGTGTGTGGCCACTTGGAGACACCAGGTAGACCTCTCACTCAAACCCTTGTAATTGTTTTGTCTTATGTTGCACCTACCCCACATTTTCCAGGATATTATGTTACTGAATGTATCCAGAGTATATTCAGATTTCGTTGTCAACAAATGCGGCGAAAAGTACAGTAAATGTAAAATGCATATAAAATCAACAGTATAATGTTGTGTCAGGTAAACTGTTCTGTCCTCATCTTTGGTCTAATAATTTTCCCATAATCTCCTAACTGTTCCCTTTCAATTGCTACCATGCTTATGCTTTTCATATTTTTGCTGTAAGAAATATTTGAATTTAGCTCTATACATATAGGCCAATTCCCACATTTAATAAGCGGTCTAAGACTGATGAGGTTATGAAACAGCCAGTTCATTCACATCTCAATGTCAAAACTCTTCCGGCCCAATGAGTCTTTCCTTTGCTTCCCTCCCTGGCAGCGCTGTGGCCCCTGCTCTGGCTAATTATAACTCTCCAAAAACGAGCTGGGCTGGAGGCAGGCCTACCCTAGCTACTAGTCTGTACCAAACCGCAGTCGAAGTCCATTGGAGAGAGATCTCTCTCTCATCAGTGAGGCAGATTCATCCCTCCCTGCCACTCTGACCTCAGCAGCAGCAGTAGAAGACGAGGAGAGGTTTCAGAGCCATGTGATGAGCTGCTTCTGACGCTGACTGACCCTTACTGCAGCGTAGGCGGGCCTGTAGAGCGCTGTAGCGCAGGGCCAAAGCCAGGGCTTTTTGTGTGTGTGTGTGTGTGTGTGTGCGCACTACGTTGGGCTGATGTGATGGGAGGGGATGTGAGCCCAATGATAAGTGATAGGGGAATATATATCCTCTGGAACAGGTGGAGACCTAGAGATGTGGTGTCTCACTCCCTAAGACACACAGCCCTGCAACACTCACACACAGTACGGCAGCATCTCAGTGAACAAAGCAACGGTCATCCACTGAATCACAACCTGCTCGGCCTGGTAGGGCACACTGAGGTGGTACCAGGTTAGTCCACTGGGCCTTATTCTATCACTACAGGTTTTATAATGAGGGGTAAGGAAAATAACACAGGATGTACACATGGAGTCACATATGATACACAAATAAACTTTCCCCCCAGAAACCCTAGTTAACAGCTTTGAAAGCATAAAGCTCTTAAAATGTAATTGACATTAGGGATTACTTATTGTTACTGTTTTGTATTCTGCTTTTCATTGCACGCGGGGGGAAGGGGGGTTTGTTGTTTGCTGTAATGTCTTTGTTGTTGTAATCTCAAACTGACCTGGCAGTTTCACCAATTAAGCTTTTCAAAATACTTTTAATGCTGGAAGAAAAGTTGTCTCAGTTTCCGAGGAAACAACCAGAGCTTATGTGTGTGTCAAAGCCCTGGTACTAGAATCTGACTCAATTGTCATTCGGAATCCAATATTAAGTTGTTAAAATGCAAGATATGCGATGACATGGTATGATTATATGCAAAGCTGGCCATCTGCTCCAACACAAGGAACGGATAATAAAAGTTCCAGAATATTGTCTTTACCAAGCAAAAGCTGTTGTCTGAAGGCTGAGTTGATCAGGCTAGAGCCAAGAGATGACTGATAATAGGAGGAAGAGACTGAGTTCCAGAACACATGTACACACCCACACAGAGTGGGCTCTGAGAGGAGTCATAGCTTCCCAGCCAGAGGAGGAGCAGAGCAGAGCAGCAATGAAGCGTTTCTAAAGAGCTGGAAACAAGCAGTGTTTTCCTGTCTGCCAATCGTTAAGAGCGTGCTGGCCAGAACACCACCAATTATAATATAAATCCCATCTCCCAACGAAGAAGAAAAAAAGGCTGTTAATGTTCCTTCTACTTGTGGTGGTGGTGGTGATGACGGAGATCGTGTGGGTGGGTGAGTTGAGTCGTGTGTGTATGCGTGTGTATGTCTGTGTGTAGCCAACTATACATTACTGACCACTCCTCCGTCAGGGTTGCGGATGTATCCGTATCCGATCTGCTTGTCAATGAAGAATCCGTAGTCAGAGCGCCGCAGATGGCCTACAGGAACGCCGTTCCGGAAGATTGCTTCCAGACCGAACATCGGGACTTTCCTGTTAGTAGGAACAGACAGAGGTGTCAGGTTCAGCTACGTCACACAGACCTGTTCAGGAGGATGTAATGTTAGAGAGATGAAGAAAGAGGACAAGGAGAGACATAAACCAGATTTCCATCCAACCACTTCATGCGGATGAAGAAAAGCCACGACAGGAAACAGCGAAGTTGTTGACAAAACAACATACGCTAAACAAGGTGGGATAAATCTTTTTTCAGATACAACTGCAGTAAACTTGGAGTCACGTGATGATGTTATAGCCAACCACCACCACAACATGGAAAAGCATGCAGAGTTTATAGGCAGATGGAATAAGCTATGATGAACTTCATAACTTATTTCATAACTTATAGTGGTTAAGTGCACGGTGATGAGCTTCATGCAAATTTCCAATAAATATCGAGGGTAGGTTGGCTGCCAATTATACAGACAGACAGACACACACACACACACCATTCGGAAAGTATTCAGAGCCCTTGACTTTTTCCACATTTTGTTACGTTACAGCCTTATTCTAAAATTGATTAAAGTATTTTGTTCCCTCATCAATCTACACACTATACCTCATAATGACAAAGTGAAAACTGTTTTTTTTGGTGCAAATGTATTTAAAATCCAAATACCTTATTTCCATAAGTATTTCAGACCCTTTGACTTAGAGTCCACCTGTGGTAAATTCAATTGATTGGACATGATTTGGAAAGGCACACACCTGTCTCTATAAGGTCCCAAAGTTGACAGTGCATGTCAGAGCAAAAACCAAGCCACGAGTTTGAAGGAATTGTCCGTAGAGCTCAGAGACAGCATTGTGTCAAGGCACAGATCTGGGGAAGGGTACAAAAAAAATTCTGCAGCATTGAAGGTCCCCAAGAACACAGTGGCCTCCATCATTCTTAAATGGAAGAAGTTTGGAACCACCAAGACTCTTCCTAGAGCTGGCTGACCGGCCAAACTGAGCAATCGGGGGAGAAGGGCCTTGGTTAGGGAGGTGACCAAGAACCCGAAGGTCACTCTGACAGAGCTCCAGAGTTCCTCTGTGAAGATGGGAGAACCTTCTAGAAGGACAACCATCTCTGCAGCACTCCACCAATCAGGCCTTTATGGTAGAGTGGCCAGATGGAAGCCACTCCTCAGTAAAAGGCACATGACAGCCCACTTGGAGTTTGCCAAAAGGCCCCTAAATACTCTCAGACCATCATAAGCAGTCTCAGTGAATCAAATCAGAAAACAATATCACGTCAGGCTGCCAGTGCTTTAAATCCACTTATCCACTTACTGAATCCCTTCTAATCAAACCACAGCAGTTTTAGTAAATTACTGGAAACATTATCAGAACTGCATCACTTAGTCCCTCACATTTAGACCAAACCAGGTCTGCTACATTACACTTACAGCAGGGAAGAATATTTAGAAATGATGATTCTGTGATTTCTATGGTTGTTGTTAAGGCCATGGTCATGTTGACTTTAAAAAGAAGAGAAACTCACACCACTCTAACTGGAGTCATCAAAGACCCCCATGGAAGGAGGAAGAAACCGAGGACCCAAACGAGGGCATTGCGTTCATCCACCTCTGGCCTGCTGGCTCCCCTACCTCTGCGGAAGCATAGTTCCCGCTCAGCCCAGTCAAAACTGTTCGCTGCTCTGGCACCCCAATGGTAGAACAAGCTCCCTCACGACGCCAGGACAGCGGAGTCACTCACCACCTTCCGGAGACATTTGAAACCCCACCTCTTTAAGGAATACCTGGGATAGGATAAAGTAATCCTTCTACCCCCCCTTACCCCAACCCCCCCCCCCAAAAAAAATAAATAAATAAAAATAAAAATAAAAAATAAATAAAAACATTGTAAAGTGGTTATCCCACTGGCTATAAGGTGAATGCACCTGTTTGTAAGTCGCTCTGGATAAGAGCGTCTGCTAAATGACGTAAATGTAAATGTATAATGCTGGTGACATTTAATTATGTCCTCAAGCTAAACAGTTGTAATGGTGACCGTGAGCACTCACTCATCAATGGTGAAACAGACAATGCGTCTACGTAGTCCCTCAGCCTTCTGTTTCTCCAGAGAGGCCCGACCCAGGAAGGGAATGGTGCTCTTCATCTTACAGGTGAACGCTAGTCCCGCCTCCAGAGGTGTGTCATCAGGCCGCAGGTCAGCGTGCCAATGTCTGTAGCCTAGGGAGAGAGGAGAGGAGTCACTATCCGACTAAACTGCAAACCTTGGAAGAGGTAGGACACAGAATGGATGAGAGATATGTAATGTAGGCTTAAACAGTCACATTCAGTCAGTGAAGGCTGGTGGGAGGAGCTATAGGAGGATGGGCTCATTGTAATGGATGGAATGGAGTCAAACGTGGTTTCCATATGTTTGATACCTTTCCATATATTACATTCCAGCCATTATAATGAGCCCATCCACCTTTAGCTCCTTCCACCAGCCTCCTCTGCATTCATTATACAAAGAAACATGAATCCATGCAAGCGCACAGAGGTTAAGCACTCTCAAAGACGTTACTGTAATACACATACACTGCCAGCTCCCCCGGGTCTGTCAACAGATTAAACAGAGCAGTGTAGTTGTACACAGTGGTTGATCCCTAGTGTTGTTGAAGTACAGGCTAACAATATAGGATACAGCTGATACATCATGCAGCCACTGTAAGGGCCTCTCCTTTCTGCTAGTCATGCTACTGCTGCTCTCTCAAGGACACATGCTAACTTAGCTCTCTACTGTTATTACCAAAAGTACTACTGTATATCTATTGAACCAAACACGCTCTATCTCCCCAGCCCCCATCTGTTTCACTTACAGCTCTGCTCCGTGTTGTCACGATATCAGTATCATACCAGATTTTCTTTGACAACAAATACAACACGAAGCAGACTAAACTCTATGGTCCTTATGTGACTGGGTAACAACATATGGCAGTTGTTTTTCTTACATTAGGACTGTTTTCCTCAAGACATTGAGTCCGCTTCATGTTTTGTTTCCTTTGCTTCCTTACTTTCTAGTATCGCGATAGTGGTATCGTGACAACACTACAACTGATACCTATGGAAGTCTATACATCTGATACGCTGTCTGCTGCCTATGGAAGTTTAGACATTCAGTTAAGGATTTTATGGGACTGTTACTGTACTCTTAGCGTGGGTACCAGTCAGTTAAGCTAACATTCCACTCCTTGTGCTCTGTGTCATTGCCAAACAAAGCTTATAAGAACCTGTAGTGTGTGATTATCCCACTGTTGTTACAGGAGAAAAGGGGGAGTAAAGTCCTATCTTTTACTGGCACATCTCACTAATAGCCCTATGTTTTCCTGGAACATGTCATAGCTGAAGCACAGTTGGTGATTGTGTTGTGTTTCCACCAGCCCCCTCAGCTCAGAAAAGCACAGCTGGTTCAGGAAGAACTTAGTTAAGTTGCTGTTCTGCCACCAAACTCTCTCAGAGCTAAGCTGTACTATACCTTTCTCTATACTGAGGGAGTCGATGGCTCTGTATCCAGCGTTGATGATGCCGTGCTTGGCACCGGCAGCCATGACAGCCTGGTAGACAGGCAAGCAGGAGTCCTTAGGGATGTGCAGCTCCCAGCCCAGCTCGCCCACGAAGGACAGACGCATGGCACGCACCTAGAGGGGGAGGTGGTGACAGAATGAGAATTAATGAGCAAGTGAGTGATTGAATGGTAAAAGACAGTGAGTGAGTGAGTGAATAAACAAACTAATGAAGGATGTGCTAATAATTTAAATGTCCTGGGATATGACGTGGCTCTAATAAGATACAGTAAATTGCAACTGATAGTTTCCCTCTTCCCAACAAACTGTATGTAATGAGACTTTAAATTGCATGGCCAGAACCCAATGTAATATAGATGTAATGGAATAAATAGAGGAATTGTGTAGGAGTTGTCCTTGAGAGCAGGCAGGCAGCTCCGACTGGTCTAGTCAGTGTTTTGATGCATTTTACTGAGAAATAACCTTTCTGGAGAACAGCACAGCTGCTCTGTAACCCTCCTACTACCTACTGCTCACACACACACACATCTTCAAGGACATGGTCTGTATGCCTGGCTACCGTACATTCTAATGAAGAACCTCCTCAGTGTTCTCCGCAGGGAGAGAGGAAACAGAGAGAGGAGAGCGAGAACGTGGGAGGATGAACAGACGGATGGGAAAGAAAGAAGGGAACAGGAGATGGGGACTGATAAAAATGTGCTAGGGAAAGAGCTGGATAGGGAGAAGAAAATAGGAAAAGAGGAAGGAGAGCGGGTGAGACTGGTGAAGGAGAGCGGTGGTGAGACTGGTGAAGGAGAGCGGGGTGAGACTGGTGAAGGAGAGAGGGGGTGAGACTGGTGAAGGAGAGAGGGTGAGAGACTGGTGAAGGAGAGCGGGTGAGAGACTGGTGAAGGAGAGCGGGTGAGAGACTGGTGAAGGAGAGCGGGTGAGAGACTGGAGAAGGAGAGCGGGTGAGAGACTGGTGAAGGACAGAGGGTGAGAGACTGGTGAAGGAGAGCGGGTGAGACTGGTGAGGGAGAGCGGGTGAGACTGGTGAGGGAGAGCGGGTGAGACTGGTGAAGGAGAGCGGGTGAGAGACTGGTGAAGGAGAGCGGGTGAGAGACTGGTGAAGGAGAGCTGGTGAGAGAGGAAGAGAGCGGGTGGTAAGGTGAAGGAGAGAGGGTGAGAGACTGGTGAGAAGGGGGAAGGGAGGGTGAGAGACTGGTGAAGGAGAGCGGGTGAGAGAGACTGGTGAAGGAGAGAGGGTGGGTGGTAAAGGGTGAGAGGGTGAGAGACGGTGAAGGACAGGAGGGTGAGAGAGGGCTGGTGAAGGACAGAGGGTGAGAGACTGGTGTGAAGGAGAGCGGGTGGAGACTGGTGAAGGAGGAGAGCGGGTGAGACTGGTGAAGGAGAGAGGGTGGTAAAGGTGAGAGGGGTGAGAGACTGGTGAAGGAGGGGGAGAGGCGGGTGAGAGGAGGGTAGAGTGGTGGAGAGCGGGTGAGAGACTGGTGGTGGTGAGAGCGGGTGAGAGAACTGGTGAAGATGTGAGAGCGGTGAGAGACTGGTGAAGGAGAGAGGGTGAGAGACTGGTGAAGGGAGAGAGGGTGAAGGAGAGAGACTGGTGAAGGAGAGAGGGTGAGAGACTGGTGAAGGAGAGAGGGTGCTGAGAGGTGAGAGACTGGTGAAGGTGAGAGACGGTGAGGAGACTGGTGTGAAGGGGGGGGGGAAGAGGGTGGAGAGACTGGTGAAGGAGAGGGGTGAGAGACTGGTGAAGGAGAGCGTGGTGAGAGACTGGTGAAGGAGAGCGGGTGAGAGACTGGTGGGAGAGGGTGAGGAGGTGAGGAGAGACGGTGAACGTGAGAGGGTGAGAGACTGGTGAAGGAGAGAGGGTGGAGGTGAGACTGGTGAGAAGGTGAGAGGGGTGAGAGACTGGTGAGAGGGTGAGAGGGGTTGAGAGACTGGTGAAGGGAGGGGTGAGAGACTGGTGAAGGAGAGGGGTGAGAGACTGGTGAGGAGGGGTGAAGATGGTAGGAGAGGGTGAGAGATGGTGAAGGAGAGCGGGTGAGTGAGGACTGTGAGGAGAGGGGTGAGAGAGGTGAGGAGGAGGTGAGAACTGGTGAAGGAGAGGGTGAGAGACTGGTGAAGGAGAGGGGTGAGAGCTGGTGAAGTGAGAGCGGTGAGAGACTGTGAGGTGAGAGAGTGGAGGAGAGCGGTGTGAGAGACTGGTGAAGGAGAAGGGGGGAGAGACTGGTGAAGGAGAGAGGGTGAGAGACTGGTGAAGGAGAGAGGGTGAGAGACTGGTGAGAGGGAGAAGGGGTAGAGACTGGTGAAGGAGAGCGGGTGGAGAGACTGGTGAAGGAGAGAGGGAGAATGGTGAGGAGAGAGACTGGTGGGAAGGAGTGAGAGGGTGAGAGACTGGTGAAGGAGAGGGGTGAGAGACTGGTGAAGGAGAGGGGTGAGAGGACTGGTGAAGGAGAGGGGTGAGAGACTGGTGAAGGGAGAGGTGAAGACTGGTGAGAGGACGGTGAGAGACTGGTAGGATGGAGAGGGGAGACGTGAGGGAGAGGGTGAGAGACTGGTGAAGGAGAGACGGGTGAGAGACTGGTGAAGGGAGGTGAGAGAGGTGGGAAGGTGAGAGCTGGGTGAGAGGGTGAGAGAGGTGAAGGAGACGGGTGAGAGACTGGTGAAGAGGAGAGAGTGGTGAAGGAGAGGGTGAGAGACTGGTGAAGAGGAGCGGTGGGTGGGGAGACGGTGAGACTGGATGTGAAGGAGAGCGGGTGAGAGACTGGTGAGGGAGAGCGGGGTGGGAGAGTGAGAGATGGTGAAGAGAGGGTGAGAGCGGTGAGAGGTGAGAGACTGGTGAAGGAGAGAGGGGTGAGAGACTGGTGAAGGAGAGCGGGGTGAGAGACTGGGTGAAGGAGAAGGGTGAGAGACTGGTGAAGGAGAGCGGGTGAGAGACTGGTGAAGGAGAGGAGGGTGAGAGACTGGTGAAGGAAGAGGGTGAGAGACTGGTGAAGGAGAGAGGGTGAGAGACTGGTGAAGGAGAGAGGGTGAGAGACGGTGAAGGAGAAACGGTGAGTGACTGGTGAGGGGGAAGGACGGAGAGGGTGAGAGACTGGTGAAGGAGAGCGGGTGAGGACTGGTGTGAAGTGGGAGAAGCGGGGAGAGACTGGTGTAAGGAGAGGGTGAGAGACTGGTGAAGGAGAGGGGTGTGAGGAACTGGTGAAGGAGAGCGGGGGTGGAGAGACTGGTGAAGGAGAGGGGTGAGAGACTGGTGAAGGGAAGGGAGAGGGTGAGGAGGACTGGTGAAGGAGAGCGGGTGATGAGACTGGTGGAAGGAGAGGGGTGAGAGACTGGTGAAGGAGAGGGGTGAAGATGACTGGTGAAGGAGAGGGGTGGTAAGAGGTGGAGGCGGGGAGTGGTGAAGGACGAGAGGGTGAGAGTGGAACTGGTGAGGAAGGGGAGAGGAGGTGAGGAAGTGAGACTGGTGAAGGAGAGGGGTGAAGACGGGTGGAGGAGAGGGTGAAGACTGGTGAAGGAGGGGGTGAGGAGAGATGGTGAGAGAGGGGTGAGAGACTGGTGGAAGGAGGAGGCGGGTGAGAGACTGGTGAAGGGGGAAGCGGTAGAGAGCTGGTGAGGAGCGGTGAGGGGACTGGTGAAGGAGAGCGGGTGAGAGACTGGTAAGGAAGGAGGGAGGGAGGTGGAGACTGGTGAAGGGGAGGGGTGAGAGACGGTGAAGGGAGAGCGGGTGAGAGACTGGTGAAGAGAGGGTGAGAGACTGGTGGAGAGAGGTGAAGCTGTGAAGGAGAGGGGTGAGAGACTGGTGAAGAGAAGGGTGAGAGACTGGTGAGAAGGGACGGTGAAGGAGACGGTGAGAGTGAGAGAGTGAGAGACTGGTGAAGGAGAGCGGGTGAGAGACTGGTGAAGGAGAGGGGTGAGAACGTGAGAGAGGGTGAACTGGTGAGAGGGTGAGAGACTGGTGAAGGAGAGAGGTGAGAGACTGGTGAAGGAGAGCGGGTGAGAGACTGGTGAAGGAGGGGTGAGAGACTGTGAAGGAGAGGTGAGGTGGTGAAGGAGAGGTGAGACTGTGAAGGAGAGGGGTGAGAGATGTGTGATGAGGTAGAGTGAGGAGGGTGAGAACTGGTGAAGGAGAGGGGTGAGAGACTGGTGAAGGAGAGGGTGAAGACTGGTGAAGGAGAGGGGTGAGAGACTGGGAAGGAGAGAGGGTGAGAGACTGGTGAAGGAGAGCGGGTGAGAGACGGTGAAGGAGAGGGTGAGAGACGGTGAAGAGAAGGGTGAGAGACTGTGGGGAGACGGGTGAGAGAGGTGAGGAGAGGGTGAGAATGGTGAGGAGAGGGTGAAGACTGTGGAGACGGGGAGAGCTGGTGAGGAGAGGGTGGAGACGGTGAAGGAGTGAAACTGGTGAGGAGAGGGGAGACTGGTGAAGGAAGGGTGAGAGACTGGTGAAGGAGAGGGGTGAGAGACTGGTGAGGAGAGGGTGGAACGGTGAGGAGGGTGAGAGACTGGTGAAGGAGAGGTGAGAGACTGGTGGAGAGGGGTGAGAGACTGGTGAAGGAGAGGGAGAGGTGAGAGAGGGTGAGAACTGGTGAAGGAGAGGGAGACTGTGAGGAGAGGGTGGGACTGTGAAGGATGAGGAGGTGTAGGGGGAGAGGTGGGAGGGGTGAGAGACTGGTGAAGGAGAGAGGTGGAACGGTGAGAGAGAGGGTGAGAGACTGGAAGGAGGGGTGAGAGACTGGGAGGAGAGCGGGTGAGAGACGTGAAGGAGAGGGGTGGAGAGGTGAGAGGGGGTGAGAGACTGGTGAAGGGAGAGGGGTGAGAGACTGGTGAAGGGAGAGGGTGAGAGACTGGTGAAAGGGAGAGGGTGAGAGACTGGTGAAGGAGAGAGGGTGAGAGACTGGTGAAGGAGAGAGGGTGAGAGACTGGTGAAGGAGAGAGGGTGAGAGACTGGTGAAGGAGAGAGGGTGAGAGACTGGTGAAGGAGAGAGGGTGAGAGACTGGTGAAGGAGAGAGGGTGAGAGACTGGTGAAGGAGAGAGGGTGAGAGACTGGTGAAGGAGAGACGGGTGAGAGACTGGTGAGGAGAGCGGGTGAGAGACTGGTGAAGGAGAGCGGGTGAGAGACTAAAGAAGGAGAGCGGGTGAGAGACTAAAGAAGGAGAGCGGGTGAGAGACTAAAGAAGGAGAGAGGGTGAGACTAAAGAAGGAGAGCGGGTGAGAGGCTGGTGAAGCAGGAGAGCAGGAGGAATGTGAGGAGAAGCTGAGGAGATGTGACAACAGCAAGGATAGTTGAGGAGTCAGCCCCAGAGGAGGCCCTGTCAGCCAGACCATCTGTCCAGCACAGCCTCACACAGGTCCCTTTCTCCCCCCCACACAGAGCAGGAAACTCTAGGGATCCGGACAGAACTAGGCCAAGATCCTCTCACATAACACATACAGTGAGGGAAAAAAGTATTTGATCCCCTGCTGATTTTGTACGTTTGCCCACTGACAAACAAATGATCAGTCTATAATTTTAATGGTAGGTTTATTTTAACAGTGAGAGACAGAATAACAACAAAAAAATCCAGAAAAAAAATGTTATAAATTGATTTGCATTTTAATGGAGGGAAATAAGTATTTGACCCCTCTGCAAAACATGACTTAGTACTTGGTGGCAAAACCCTTGTTGGCAATCACAGAGGTCAGACGTTGCTTGTAGTTGGCCACCAGGTTTGCACACATCTCAGGAGGGATTTTGTTCCACTCCTCTTTGCAGAGCTTCTCCAAGTCATTAAAGTTTCGAGGCTGATGTTTGGCAACTCAAAACCAGCTCCCTCCACAGATTTTCTATGGGATTAAGGTCTGGAGACTGGCTAGGCCACTCCAGGACCTTAATGTGCTTCTTCTTGAGCCACTCCTTTGTTGCCTTGGCCGTGTGTTTTGGGTCAGTGTCATGCTGGAATACCCATCCACGACCCATTTTCAATGCCCTGGCTGAGGGAAGGAGGTTCTCACCCAAGATTTGACAGTACATGGCCCCGTCCATCGTCCCTTTGATGCGGTGAAGTTGTCCTGTCCCCTTAGCAGAAAAACACCCCCAAAGCATAATGTTTCCACCTCCATGTTTGTCGGTGGGGATGGTGTTCTTGGCGTCATAGGCAGCATTCCTCCTCCTCCAAACACGGCGAGTTGAGTTGATGCCAAAGAGCTCCATTTTGGTCTCATCTGACCACAACACTTTCACCCAGTTCTCCTCTGAATCATTCAGATGTTCATTGGCAAACTTCAGACGGGCCTGTATATGTGCTTCTTGAGCAGGGGGACCTTGCGGGTGCTGCAGGATTTCAGTCCTTCACGGCTTAGTGTGTTACCAATTGTTTTCTTGGTGACTATGGTCCCAGCTGCCTTGAGATCATTGACAAGATCCTCCCGTGTAGTTCTGGGCTGATTCCTCACCGTTCTCATGATCATTGCAACTCCACGAGGTGAGATCTTGCATGGAGCCCCAGGCCGAGGGAGATTGACAGTTAATTTGTGTTTCTTCCATTTGCGAATAATCGCAACAACTGTTGTGACCTTCTCACCAAGCTGCTTGGCGATGGTCTTGTAGCCCATTCCAGCCTTGTGTAGGTCTACAATCTTGTCCCTGACATCCTTGGAGAGCTCTTTGGTCTTGCCATGGTGGAGAGTTTGGAATCTGATTGATTGATTGCTTCTGTGGACAGGTGTCTTTTATACAGGTAACAGGCTGAGATTAGGAGCACTCCCTTTAAGAGTGTGCTCCTAATCTCAGCTCGTTACCTGTATAGAAGACACCTGGGAGCCAGAAATCTTTCTGATTGAGAGGGGGATCAAATACTTACTTCCCTCATTAACATGCAAATCAATTTATAACATTTTTGACATGTGTTTTTCTGGATTTTGTTGTTGTTATTCTGTCTCTCACTGTTCAAATAAACCTACCATTAAAATTATAGACTGATCATTTGTTTGTCAGTGGGCAAACGTACAAAATCAGCAGGGGATCAAATACTTTTTTCCCCTCACTGTACACAAATAATAATCACGCACGTACACAAATAATAATCACGCACGCACACAAATAATAATCACGCACACTATCCCCCCCCCCCCCCCCCCCAAACAACCTGCCTCACGGTACGGTAAACCTGTGTGAGGAAGTGATGTGTAATGAGTGAGTTGGGGCACAGACAAACACAGCACAGGCAAAGAGACCCCCAGAAGAAAACAGTGTTTTCAGCACAGTAGTGACACCATCAGTGGGATTAAAATGCCATCAAGACCATACTTAATGTAGGACAGGATGCGGCATTAGTGAAGGCAGGCAGAAGCCAAAAAACAAGGGGGATCCAGAGGAAAATATTACGTAATTCAGCTAAATCAAAACAGAATGCATTAGCGACACTGAGCCGGAGGCTTAGTTAGAAATAGAGCAGTCTTTATTTTGGAGAGCCACTCTGTTCCAATGCTGCTCTGCTCAGCTCATCTACTGGGAAACATACAGAGGACCCAGTGTTTTATACTGTAATAGTTAGGGCTGTATGTTTATAAAACACTCCAAATGTATTACAGCTATCAAGCTAAAACATGTATACAGAGGTTGTCTCTTAATTTGATCACTGTTGTCGCAGATCGTTTTTTTACTGCGCAGCAAGAAATGCAACTTGTAGTGTATTGAAGGTTTGAAAAGGCTTCTAAAGTTTGTAATTTCCACTGAAAAAATGCATCAACCCCTACAAAAATATCCATTAATTATAATCCACATAATTCAGATTTGCTGTTGCTGCAGGATTATTTTACAGCTGTGAGAAACTGGTAAATTTAAAATAGGTATATATTAAATGTACAATCGTAAATGTTTTCTACAACAATGAGGCAGAGAGGAGGAAAAGGTTGGATGGTGAAAGAGACTAACATGTTTAGATTTAAGGGAGACATGAATAATGGAGAGAGGGAGAGGGACAGATGAGAGAGAGCAATAGAAAGAACGAGGTGGCGAGGTTAGAGAAGTATGCAGTGTTTGACATGAGGTCTCAGTCAGTCACAGGGGTGATGTGAGCCAGGCCATCTGTCCCATAAACAGGCACAGCACATTCACACAGGTCCCTAGACCTCCACACACTCTCCACAACTAGGCCAAGACACACAACAAACACACACACAGGCAGCTACACACAAACACGCACGTACAACAACCCACCTTTGTGCACGCATGAACGCACACACACGAAGATATGCACACTCACACACGAAGATATGCACACTCGCCCTCTCCTTGCTCTCTCTCTCATACACACTCAGGAGAAAACAACCCTTCTTCAAGCTGCGCCATGAAATTTACATATATTCGAATTTATTACTTGAATTCCAGTGGCAATTGACAGCACTGTGTGAAGCAGAGTAATTTGTACCATATTGAATTATACATTTGATGAGGCAAGAGTGTGTGTAAGGGTGGGAATGACAGGGGAAAATAACTGCTAGCCAGATTGACAGCCAGACAGAGCCAGCCAGACAGGAAGAAAGATAGACAGGCCCCTTTCTCTTACCTTGTGTCCGGCAGCGTTACAGACTTTGTGTGTAGAGAAAGGGAAGGCTTCGTTACTCAGGTCTGTATCCAGGATCTCCTGTAGCACCTCTCGACTGTGGACAGACACAGAACACCACGTCAGCCAATCAGCTGTCAATCAACCAGTATCAGCCAATCACCTGTCAATCAGGAACTGCTCTAACCAGCAGCTGCCAAAGGGATCATCAGTATATCTGTCAATCACCAATGGCAGCAGAACTCGCGTCAGCCAAAGTACCTAGCAGTCAACCGGTCCATCTCAGAAAAGTCCACTTCAGACAATGTAAGTCAGACAGGCAGTGTGGCACAACACACACTCACGATTGAGAAGACAAAAACAAAACATCATCATTTATGTTTCATGGCCAGCGTTCAGGTTTGGTTGGGTGTTGTGTTGTCTGTGACACTGGGCCTGGGTCTGTCCTTATGAGTTCCTCTGAGCACACAGACACACACACGTACGTACGTAATCTGGTTTCTGGATAGTGCCTCGTCACTGAAGCAGCCTGATCCCAGATCTGTTTGTGCTGTCTTGCAAACTAGACAATGATTGTAATGAGCTGGCAAGAGAGCACAAACATATTTGGGATCAGGCTATCACTGAAGGGCCCCCCCTGACTGTAGTCATTGGAAGCAGCTGCGTGGCTTGCAGAGCTATTGGGAGGGCTATTGGAGCAAAACAGCCCAGACGATGAGCTCAGAGGGAGCTCCTCTTTCACTGTGATGCTTCTCTCTCATTTGGCTCATACCCCTCTTTCCTCCAGCATAATTATGAGTTTCTACCATATTGTTTTCACCCGTCAAATCCTTTACAATAAGTGCCGATGAAGGGGAGGAGACAGGTGACAGCATTTTAAACAATTTGAGTAACTGCACTCTAAATTGAGATCGAGCCCAAATCTGTGCCGACAGGCCAGCCTTGGCTTCCTCATTTAGGGGCCGGCGGCAGCATTCGTGTCTCCGGGTACAGGTCAATAAGGCTCCATCCTCTCAAGATGCGCAGCGTCGCTACATTGGCGGCAGTCAAAGTGATGGATGTTTACACCAGGGCAGAGACGCGGCCTGTGAGCCGCTACTGCCACGCTACGTTGATAAACAAACCTCTGTATAAACATATGCCAAAATATGCCATTTACCACAAGGACCAGGGCTTTTCTAGGTGCAGGCATGGCTGAATGGCTGGCTGAGATTGCAGACGCATCATTCTTCTCAGAGTTGGAGCGGCTGCCGGTGGACGAAGGAAGAGTAATGGATGTTTAGGTTCTGCCAGAGCGTGTGTGTCTGTGTTCAGGGTGTGTGTGTGTTTGTATGCATGTGTACATGCACTAAGCAGAGGAACTCATAAGGACAGAATAAATGTGTGAGGTACAGAGAGAGATAAGGTGTAGGGCCAGGGGAACATGGGGAAAAGGGATAATATATTTTGTTCATGAAGATAGGTGGTTTCAGGGTATGAGGCGAGGTGTGAAGCATGAACCATCATGCTTACTGAACTGTAGAGGCCAACAAGCTGTCTAATTATAAACCCTGTGTGTGAGTGTGGGTGCGTTAGTGCGTGGACAGTGTGGGCAGTGAAACAGCCAATTAGTTGATCAGACTACCCATTTATTGTGGCAGTTAGCTCAGGATCACAGATCTGTTCCTAATGAGAAATCACACACACCGCTGGCTGCATATCACCCCCAAATTGAACCAAACTCCTAATTTGTGTCGTAAAACTCCCAATGCACTATTACGTGACAAAATCGAATGAAACATTTCTAAATTGAGATTGCACTAATTAAACTACATCAAACTATTTGCAGAACAACTAATTTAGTCCCAACTATGTATGTGATACACAGAGCACACACAGTACATGGGAACAAGTATGTGGCCCCTGCCTATCCCTGTACTCTGAGACACAATCAGACCATAGAGAAATAACCTCTCCCACCCCTTCAATATCCTCCCATCGCCTCCTCGTCGCTAGCTACACTGCCGCAGGGGACTCATTTGAGTTTCAAATGTGTTGTGACAAGATTTCATTCATATTTCAGGATTGTGGGAAGAGGGAGGAAGGGAGAAGGGAGAGATGGGGGGGGAAGAGACATGATGAAAAGACACTGATATGTATGGAGGCTGGGCCGGTGGCTGAGGGACAGTCTCATTTCTACTAGCTGTAGTTAATCAGTCTGTTGCGACAGAGACAGACAGAGCAGAACGTGGCCGAGGACAGCCATTATGATAAGGCCCACAGTTGCGTCTAATTATGTGGATATATTGAAGCAGCATCTCAAGATATCAGTCAGGAAGTTAAAGCTTGGTCGCAAATGGGTCTTCCACATGGACAATGACCCCAAGCATACTTCCAAAGTTGTGGCAAAATGGCTTAAGGACAACAAAGTCAAGGTATTGGAGTGGCCATCACAAAGCCCTGACCTCAATCCTATAGAAGATTTGTGGGCAGAACTGAAAAAGCGTGTGCGAGCAAGGAGGCCTACAAAGCTGACTCAGTTACACCAGGTCTGTCAGGAGGAATGGGCCAAAATTAAACAATTTAAAGGCAATGCTACAAAATACTAATTGAGTGTATGTAAACTTCTGACCCACTGGGAATGTGATTAAATAAATAAAAGCTGAAATAAATCATTCTCCCTACTATTATTCTGACATTTCACATTCTTAAAATAAAGTGGTGATCCTAACAGGGAATTTTTACTAGGATTAAATGTCAGGAATTGTGAAAAACTGAGTTTAAATGTATTTGGCTAAGGTGTATGTAAACATCCGACTTCAACTGTACGTGTAAGTAACTGTGTACTTAACTACACTGAATAAAAAATATAAACGCAACATGTAAAGTGTTGGTCCCATGTTTCATGAGCTGAAATAAAAGATCCCAGAAATGTAGGTGCACCTTGTGCTGGGGACAATAAAAGGCCATTTTAAAATGTGCAGTATTGCCACAGGTGTCTCAAGTTTTGAGGGAGCATGCAATTGGCATGTTGACTGCGGGGATGTCCAACAGAGCTGTTGCAAGGTAATTTAATGTTCATTTCTCTACCATAAGCCGCCTCCGTCATTTTAGAGAATTTGGCAGTAGGTCCAACCGGCCTCACAACCGCAGACCACGTGTATGGCGTTGTGTGGGCGAGCGGTTTGCAGATGTCAACGTTGTGAACAGAGTGCCCCATGGTGGCAGTGGGGTTATGGTATGGGCAGGCATAAGCTAGGGACAACGAACACAATTGCATTTTATCGATGGCAATTTGAATGCACAGAGATACTGTGACGAGATCCTGAGGCCCATTGCCGTACCATTCATCCGCCGCCATCACCTCGTGTTTCAGCATGATAATGCACGGCCACATAAGGATCTGTACACAATTCCAGGAATCTGAAAATGTCCCAGTTCTTCCACAGATGCATATCTGTATTCCCAGTCATGTGAAATCCATAGATTAGGACTGATTTTCTTTTATGAACTGTAACTCAGTAAAATATTGTTGCATGTTGCGTTTATATTTTTGTTCAGTATATGTACAGTGGGGAGAACAAGTATTTGATACACTGCCGCTTTTGCAGGTTTTCCTACTTACAAAGCATGTAGAGGTCTGTAATTTTTATCATAGGTACACTTCAACTGTGAGAGACGGAATCCAAAACAAAAATCCAGAAAGTCACATTGTATGATTTTTAAGTAATTAATACATCAGAAAAGCAGAACTTAATATTTGGTACAGAAACCTTTGTTTGCAATTACAGAGATCATACGTTTCCTGTAGGTCTTGACCAGGTTTGCAAACACTGCAGCAGGGATTTTTGCCCACTCCTCCATACAGACCTTCTCCAGATCCTTCAGGTTTCGGGGCTGTCGCTGGGCAATACGGACTTTCAGCTCCCTCCAAAGATTATCTATTGGGTTCAGGTCTGGAGACTGGCTAGGCCACTCCAGGACCTTGAGATGCTTCTTACGGAGCCACTCCTTTGTTGCCCTGGCTGTGTGTTTCGGGTCGTTGTCATGCTGGAAGACCCAGCCACGACCCATCTTCAATGCTCTTACTGAGGGAAGGAGGTTGTTGGCCAAGATCTCGCGATACATGGCCCCAACCATCCTCCCCTCAATACGGTGCAGTCGTCCTGTCCCCTTTGCAGAACAGCATCCCCAAATAATGATGTTTCCACCTCCATGCTTCACGGTTGGGATGGTGTTCTTGGGGTTGTACTCATCCTTCTTCTTCCTCCAAACACGGCGAGTGGAGTTTAGACCAAAAAGCTCTATTTTTGTCTCATCAGACCACATGACCTTCTCCCATTCCTCCTCTGGATCATCCAGATGGTCATTGGCAAACTTCAGACGGGCCTGGACATGCGCTGGCTTGAGCAGGGGGACCTTGCGTGCGCTGCAGGATTTTAATCCATGACGGCGTAGTGTGTTACTAATGGTTTTCTTTGAGACTGTGGTCCCAGCTCTCTTCAGGTCATTGACCAGGTCCCGCCGTGTAGTTCTGGGCTGATCCCTCACCTTCCTCATGATCATTGATGCCCCACGAGGGGAGATCTTGCATGGAGCCCCAGACCGAGGGTGATTGACCGTCATCTTGAACTTCTTCTATTTTCTAATAATTGCGCCAACAGTTGTTGCCTTCTCACCAAGCTGTTTGCCTATTGTCCTGTAGCCCATCCCAGCCTTGTGCAGGTCTACAATTTTATCCCTGATGTCCTTACACAGCTCTCTGGTCTTGGCCATTGTGGAGAGGTTGGAGTCTGTTTGATTGAGTGTGTGGACAGGTGTCTTTTATACAGGTAACGAGTTCAAACAGGTGCAGTTAATACAGGTAATGAGTGGAGAACAGGAGGGCTTCTTAAAGAAAAACTAACAGGTCTGTGAGAGCCGGAATTCTTACTGGTTGGTAGGTGATCAAATACTTTTGCAGAAAAACAGCCCCAAAGCATGATGTTTCCACCCCCATGCTTCATTCTTTGTCCTCCAAACATGACGAGTTGAGTTTTTACCAAAAAGTTCTATTTTGGTTTCATCTGACCATCTGACATTCTCCCAATCCTCTTCTGGATCATCCAAATGCACTCTAGCAAACTTCAGACGGGCCTGGACATGTACTGGCTTAAGCAGGGGAACACGTCTGGCACTGCAGGATTTGAGTCCCTGGCGGCGTAGTGTGTTACTGATGGTAGGCTTTGTTACTTTGGTCCCAGCTCTCTGCAGGTCATTCACTAGGTCCCCCCGTGTGGTTCTGGGATTTTTGCTCACCGTTCTTGTGATCATTTTGACCCCACGGGGTGAGATCTTGCGTGGAGCCCCAGATCGAGGGAGATTATCAGTGGTCTTGTATGTCTTCCATTTCCTAATAATTGCTCCCACAGTTGATTTCTTCAAACCAAGCTGCTTACCTATTGCAGATTCAGTCTTCCCAGCCTGGTGCAGGTCTACAATTTTGTTTCTGGTGTCCTTTGACAGCTCTTTGGTCTTGGCCATAGTGGAGTTTGGAGTGTGACTGTTTGAGGTTGTGGACAGGTGTTTTTTATACTGATAACAAGTTCAAACAGGTGCCATTACAGGTAATGAGTGGAGGACAGAGGAGCCTCTTAAAGAAGAAGTTACAGGTCTGTGAGAGCCAGAAATCTTGCTTGTTTGTAGGTGACCAAATACTTATTTTCCACCATAATTTGCAAATAAATTAATTAAAAATCCTACAATGTGATTTTCTGGATTTTGTTCTCTCATTTTGTCTGTCTTAGTTGACGTGTACCTATGATTAAAATTACAGGCCTCTCATCTTTTTAAGTGGGAGAACTTGCACAATTGGTGGCTGACTAAATACTTTTTTCCCCCACTGTAACTATGTGTATGTGACTGTATGTAACTACACTATGTGGCCAAAAGGATGTTAACACCCCTTCAAATGAGTGGATTCGGCTTTTTCAGCCACACCCATTGCTGACAGGTGTATAAAATCGAGCACACAGCCATGCAATCTCCATAGACAAACATTGACCCGTACTGAAGAGCTCAGTGACTTTCAATGTGGCACCGTCATAGGATGCCACCTTTCCAAAACGTCAGTTTGTCAAATGTCTGCCCTGCTAGGAATACCTGGAATAGTATAACAGTAATCCTTCTACCCCCCCCCCCCCCCCTCCCCCTCCCCCACCCCCCCATTAAAAAAATATGGCTATCCTAAGTTGAATGCACCAATTTGTAAGTCGCTCTGGATAAGAGCGTCTGCTAAATGACTTAAATGAAAATGTAACTATGTATTTAACTTTGTGTGTGTAACTCTGTGTGTGTAAGTGTGTGTGTGTGTGTAACCGTGTGTGTGTGTGTGTGTGTAACCGTGTGTGTGTGTGTGTGTGTGTGTGTGCGTAACTGTGTGTGTGTGTGTGTGTGTGTGTAACTGTGTGTGTGTGTGTGTGTGTGTGTAACTGTGTGTGTGTGTGTGTGTGTGTGTGTAACTGTGTGTGTGTGTGTGTGTGTGTATAGTGGTTGTGCTGATGACTAGTGGCTTACTCTAAGTAGAAGTGAGAGCCTCATCTTAGAATCTGCAGACATGAGAAATGAGGGAGTGTTTTATTGAGCTGGGTTATTTGCCATTCCGTAAGCGTTCAGCGAATCATTTACCGTTTTTAATACTATCGCCTGATAAACCCAGGGGGATGGAAATGTAGCTACCACACAGTTTCCACATACTAGATGCTGTAATGGAACTGCAGGGTTGATTAAATTGCTGTGTAGCGAGAGAAAACGAACGTTGCAATGCCAATGGTTTCATATAACTTAGCATATGTGAGGCTGTTATGCTCAAGTGGCATGAAATCAGACCACAATGAGTACTATGATCAAGATTTTATGACTGTTGAGTGTTGCATCTATTCCCCATCGCTCTAACAGTTACAGAATAGTGTTTCATCACAAGGAGAGTGTAACGTATGACGTACTCCTTCCTAGGTTTGGCTCAAAGAGAGAGATGGAAATAACAGGTCCTTTCCCGAGTGAAGATTGCTGTGCATGATGACACATTCCATGCTGGGTTTGACGTCAGAGACCATTTAACAGATATATATATATATATACACATATATAGATAGAGAGACATAGATAGATAGATAGATAGATAGATAGATAGATAGATAGATAGATAGATAGGAGGCCAGAGGAACGTCAAGAATTCTCTAACTGAGGAGACATGCAGGTAGATCGTATTACACCACACACACACACACACACACAAGGAAAGAGAGAAAGTGAGAGATGAAAGGCCAACAGACAGAAAGAGAGAGAGAGTGCGAGTGAGAGAACGAACAGCTTCCAGTCCAGTACTTTTGACCCCATCTGCATTATCAGAACAAACTAGACTAGAGGGACCATTCTGTTACCAGGACACAGTGTCCTGTAGGTTTCAGGATTGCAGCAGGGGTACTCACAACCAGAGGTGTGAACCAAAACGTTTTAGGGAGCAGGGATGGCCAAATACACTATATATACACAAAAGTATGCGGACACCCCTTCAAATTAGTGGATTCGACTATTTCAGCCACACCCGTTTCTGACAGGTGTATAAAATCGAGCACACAGCCATGCAATCTCCAAAGACAAACATTGGCAGTAGAATGGCCTTACTGAAGAGCTCAGTGACATTCAACGTGGCACCGTCATAGGATGCCACCTTTCCAACAAGTCAGTTCGTCAAATTTCTGCCCTGCTAGAGCTGCCCCGGTCAACTGTAAGTGCTGTTATTGTGAAGTGGAAACATCTAGGTGAAACAACGGCTTCGCCGCAAAGTGGTAGGCCACACAAGCTCACAGAATGGGACCACCGAGTGCTGAAGCGCGCAGCACGTAAAAATAATCTGTCCTCGGTTGCAACGCTCACTCCCGTGTTCCAAACAGCGTCTGGAAGCAACGTCAGCACAATAACTGTTCGTCGGGAGCTTAAAGAAATGAGCAGTCGCACACAAGCCTAAGATTGGGATGAATTGGAACACTGACTGCGAGCCAGGCCTAAAGCCCAACATCACTGCCTGACCTCACTAATGCTCTTGTGGCTGAATGGAAGCAAGTTCCCGCATCAATGTTCCAACACCTAGTGGAAAGCCTTCCCAGAAGAGTGGAGGCTATTATAGCGTGGTCCTCTGTAGCTCAGCTGGTAGAGCACGGCGCTTGTAACGCCAAGGTAGTGGGTTCGATCCCCGGGACCACCCATACACAAAAATGTATGCACGCACGACTGTAAGTCGCTTTGGATAAAAGCGTCTGCTAAATGGCATATTATATTATTTATTATTATAGCCACAAAAGGGGACCAACTCCAAGCAGGTGTCCACATACTTTTGATCACGTAGTGTATATCTTGTATATATTTGTCCCAAAATTTGAGGGGTCAGTTTAAAAGAATGGCCATAACCACTCTGCTCAGGACAGTGATAAGGACCTGTTATTTCACCCATGAGGGGGTCTCACCTCTTTATCATTGTCTCCCCCAAACCTATGCTCCTGCCACGCTGTGTGGTTTCCATTGAGATGCACCAATAAGCAGGTTTCACCTCTTGGACCCCTGGATGGTTAGTGTAAGGGTAACATTAAGGCACCTGTTTGGGGGGTTCACACTCACCTCTTGGGCCCCTGGATGCTGATCATGCCCATGTCTTCAGAGTAGTCAGTCAGCTGGCAGTTGAAACCCTCGTCCTGTAGAACAGTCTTGATGTGGTTCCAGTTGTGTTCTGCTACACCTCCACCGATGGCCAGGTAGTATGCATCACCTGGTAGAGAGCGAGAGTCGAGACAGAAAGAGCGAGACATTCAGCACCAGAGATAGGTGTTTACTCATATATACTGTACAGTAAACACGACATACATAAGAGTGAGTACTCACATACACAGACAGTACAGGCACACACACACTTTACTTAAATACACATCAGTGGATATGTAGTCACATTTCCACCCCGCTCTGCCTTCACATCACAGCCAAAAGCCTGATCAATGCCTTCCAAACAACCCTTCAGACAAGTTTTCAGATTTCAATTTGTTTTCCCTTCCAGTCCCCGAATGACTTCAATGTTGCATCAGAAGTTAACTTCGTGAGCAAGCTGCTTGTTTACAAAGCAGGAGAAATCGTTCAGGAGCACTTTGCACTGCTAATATTTTCCTGTGTTGCATTTCCTGTGTACATGGGGCGTTCCATCAATTCAGTGCCTTTTGAGAAGTATAACTTGATCACACACAGTACCAGTCAAAAGTTTGGACACATTTTTACTTGTTTTTCAACAGGACAATGACCCAAAACACACCTCCAGGCTGTGTAACGGCTATTTGAGAGTGATGAAGTGCTGCATCAGATGACCTGGCCTCCACAATCGCCCGACCTCAACCCAATTGAGATGGTTTGGGATGAGTTGGACCGCAGAGTGAAGGAAAAGCAGTTAATAAGTGCTCAGCATATGTGGGAACTCCTTCAAGACAGTTGGAAAACCATTCCTCATGAAGCTAGTTGAGAGAATGCCAAGAGTGTGCAAAGCTGTCATCAAGGCAAAGGGTGGCTATTTGAAGAATATAAAATATATTGATTTGTTTAACACTTATTTGGTTACTACATGATTCCATGTGTGTTATTTCATAGTTTGGATGTCTTCACTATTATTCTACAATGTAGAAAATAGTAAAAATAAAGAAAAACTATAGTAAATGCCTATTAAGTGTCAAATAAAGTAACAGCGTTGACGATTTCATCTTAAGTCATCCATAAATCCCCTTGTGACAGGGGGAATGGAAGCTTGTTGTGTGCAACAGGGAGTGACAATTGAATGCAAGAAAACATTTTTATTGTCAAAACATGTCTAGCCTGTCTGTCTATGGGTAACAGGGTTGACGTGTTATGCTTGATCAGCTCAGTTTTCCACCACAAAAAAACAGAAAATGTCCAAAAAGACCGGCTCACCTGCTTTTTCACTATGATTCGACTATTAGATGTTCAATGTTTACCATACACACTTAACAGGGTTGACCTTAAAATGAGGGATAGACGTAAATGAATCCCTAATCACATCAAATAAATACTACATCTTACATTTACATCATTTAGCAGATGCTCTTATCCAGAGCGACTTACAAATTGGTGCATTCACCTTATAGCCAGTGGGATAACCACTTAAGTATTTTTTTTTTGTGGGGTAAGGGGGGGTAGAAGGATTACTTTATCCTATCCCAGGTATTCCTTAAAGAGGTGGGGTTTCAAGTGTCTCCGGAAGGTGGTGAGTGACTCCGCTGTCCTGGCGTTGTGAGGGAGCTTGTTCCACCATTGGGGAGCCCAGCCAACAGCGAGTTGCAGTAATCCAGATGGGAGATGACAAGTGCCTGGATTAGGACCTGTGCCTCTTCCTGTGTAAGGCAGGGTCGTACTCTCCGAATGTTGTAGAGCATGAACCTACAGGATCGGGTCACCGCCTTGATGTTAGCGGAGAACGACAGGGTGTTGTCCAGGGTCACACCAAGGTTCTTTGCACTCTGGGAGGAGGACACAATGGAGTTGTCAACCGTGATGGCGAGATCATGGAGCGGGCAGTCCTTCCCCGGGAGGAAGAGCAGCTCCGTCTTGCCGAGGTTCAGCTTGAGTTACGTACAAATAGGTCGTCGTCGGGTGAGGTTGTGTCTCTCTCTGGTGGGAGGTAAGCTTGGCTTATATACATAGTTTGGGCTTTGTCGAGTAAAGCTTAAACTATGAATTTAGATTGTAGTTAGGTATTGTAGGTAGTTATCGTGGGTTGTTGTATGTAATTATTGTAGGTTAGCAACATAACTAGGGTCTTTACAATGATGGTGAAAACTTGGAGAAATAAAAATGCAATATTGGTGCACAATTTCTACTTAAAATATCAAAAAGGGACACAAAAGGCACTCTTTTCGTGGAACGATCCACATAACATTGCAGATTGGGAAAATAGGTTAGACAAGGCAATACTTCAAGGTAGCAAAAAGCAGGAAGGTCTGTACTCATCGATTCCCGGTGAAAAAGTCTCTACATTTATTCCACACTTCATGGTGATTACACCCCAAGCCCTCCTACAAATGTTTCTCTACAGTACACATTTAGTCATTTAGCAGACGCTCTTATCCAGAGCAACTTACAGTTAGTCATTCATCTTTAGATAGCTAGGTGGGACAACCACATACTGTATCACAGTCATAGTAAGTACATTTTTCCTCAATAAAGTAGCTAAATCAGGAAAGTCTGTGCTAGTAAGTGGGAAAAAGTCAACTGCGAGTGTTAGTTCACAAAAGTTTTTATTTGTATTTATTTATTTTTAGATTCTTTTAATTTAGTCTTTGAAGATAGTCCAAAGATGGGTAGGGACTCTGCTGTCCTAGCTTCAGGGGGAAGCTGGTTCCACCATTGGGGTGCCAGGACAGAGAAGAGCTTTGACTGGGCAGTATGTAATTTTAGTGAGTAGTACGCAAGACAAATTTCGGACACGGCCACTGTGTCTCTGACCACTGCTAGTTACAAGCAAGCTACTGTAGCACTGCCGTGTTACTTAAATATTCTACAAGGGCGTCTCTACAGAGAACATCCATTCTAAGGTTAAGTCAGAGGAGTTCATGAAAATATGAATAGGTCCTGTGAGGCTCAGTTGGTGAGAGTGTAGCGCTAGCAATGCCAATGTTGTTGGTTCCATTTCCACAGGGATCACATACACATACTAAAAATGTATGCACTCACTGTACTTTAAGTCACTTTGGATAAAAGCGTCTGCTAAGTGGAATATATTTTCTGAGGTTAAGTCACAGGAGGTAAGTAAGTCACAGATGATGATTAATGATACATGTGCAATGTCCCTGTCAAATACATAATACATGAACATTGAAATGAATGAAATCCCCATCCCACTCTCCTCTTACCGTTGGACTCTGGTGTCAGGGGCAGTTTGGAAGTGCCAGCCTCTAGCCGGCTGACTGTGAGATCAGCCTCAGATCCTCCTCTCTTGTTCAGCATACAGGTGTACACAGTTGAGCCTGCAACACAAGGATCCAGCTGTCAATCAAACCAGCACATGGGAGGACACATACATCCTCCCGAGTGGCGCAGTGCCACTAGAGATCCTGGTTCGAATCCAGGCTCTGTCGTAGCCGGCCGCGACCGGGAGACCCATGGGGCGGCGCACAATTGACCCAGCGTCGTCCAGGGTAGGGGAGGGAATGGCCGGCAGGGATGTAGCTCAGTTGGTAAAGCATGGTGTTTGCAACGCCAGGGTTGTGGGTTCGATTCCCACGGGGGGGGTATGAAAAAAATTAAAAATAATAATAATGTATGCACTCACTAACTGTAAGTCGCTCTGGATAAGAGTGTCTGCTAAATGACTCAAATGTAAATACATAGGAGGGAGGGGTGATGAGTAGTCCTGTGAAGCATTTTGTGACAAGTGTTGCTCTAGAAAGGGCTATATACATTTGATTGAATGATTGATTGATTAGTAGGACCTGACCATGTCACCCGACCTGCAACATTATATGTATAACAATTGTTCCTAATCAGGAGAAGCTCAGGGCCCTAGGGATGAAGAATACCCTACTGTTTAGACACACGGTCATGGCTAGGCCATGTGGTGGCATGAGGTTAGCTAAGACCCCTCACTATGACTAAGTGAGACCAAAGCCACAATGTTCCAGTGTTCACATGCAGCATGACTCAGAGGATGTGTGTGGGGGCAGATGGATTGGACTGTACCTCAAAACTCATCTGTAATTTAAATAGTCCTGTATCTCCTCTCCTGCCTCACTGGGTACTGCTGGGCTGCATTATTCAGGGGCCAGCGGGCCCTTTCACAGCAGTGTGGGTGGGTGTGTGTGTGTGTGCATGCATTTTTGTGTATGCAAACATTCTGTGGTAGTCATGCGTGAAGACTCACCTGGAACTTTGTTGACATCGGCGGAGAATAGCCAATCGGCAGCCCTCTTAGCATCTGGCCCGGTGAGGTAAAACTTTCCAAAGTAGGACATGTCAAACACTGAGACTCCATGTCTGCACATCAGACACTCATTTTTGATCTGAAAAACAAACACACACCCCTTTAAGGACAGAAAATTCCGCTGAAAAATCGATCAAATGTTTTCATGAAGCCCTTTTTACAGCAACATTTTGTCACAAAGTGCTTTACAATAACCCAACCAGTACAAATAGATGCTTACCACATGGTGATGTGGAGGGTAGTCAAAGGTGTACTCCTTGCCAAGCAGCTCATTGTATTTGTAGTTCTGGTTCTTGCTAATATCATAGGCCCCGTACCAATCATAGTCCAGAACCTACAACCACAAAAAACACACATTAGGTCAATGGTCAGAAACCTTACATCTCTTCTCTGTACTAAGCTTTCAAATCCTTTTAAGAAGAACAATTATTAACCATTGTGACAGGTATCCCTGGAGCCGTTTCTAGGGTTTAAGTGCCTTGCCCAAGGGCACAACAGCAGGAGACAGATCGAGGATTTCATACCAGCAACCGCTCAGATGCGTGTTTCTTACCGGAGCAGCACCGTCCCGGTTGAACCATCCTGGTCTCTCCCAACCATGTCTCTCCTGGAACACACAGCCCTGCTCCGTCAGAACCTAGAGAAACACAGTCACACAACAATTAGCATTACAATTAGCTTTCACACACTAAATCAAATCAAAATGTATTTGCCACATGCGCTGAATACAACAGGTGTAGACCTTACCGTGAAATGCTTACTTACAAGCCCTTAACCAACAATGCAGTTAAGAAAAATAGAGTTAAGAAAATATTAACTAAATAAACTATAACAATAATGAGGCTATATACAAGGGGTACCGGTACCAAGTCAATGTGCGGGGGTACACGGACAGAAGGGGAAACCCAGACACGTCACAGGGGCTATAAAACTGAAGAATCCATTTAGAACGTTTTCTCAATACCAAATATGGTCGTAAGAAGAGGAAGTCCAGTCATGGCTAGTGGGAGAGGATGGAACTAGGTGAAACTGGGCCGACATTCTGCTAATTTTCTAATCAACGAAACATCTGATCTCAATAAATGTTTTGGTTCCCAAAACTACAAATCTGTTACGAACACAGTGCACTAAGTTTTATAGACTTGAAGCTTTGCCGAAGTTTTAAAAAATGCCGTTGTTTAGAAGGAGTGCAAGGTCGAGCACACGTACACTTCACAGAGGAGGCGTTCCCTGACGGAAATATGCAAATACATGCTACAACGCACCAATAGGACCTCGCTAGCTCGCGCTTGGCTCTGCCCACCTCCTTGTTTGTTCTGCCCACTATGCTTCATTTGCTCCCACTGTAAACGATACAGATTAACTATCTATGGGTTATAAATATCTTTGCTAATACCATAGAGCACCTACAGTCACACAACTAGCATTAGCATACCTGCACTTATAACCCACAGTCAGCATTATTATGCTTTAATACAATGGTATCACCATCAGGCATTATCATAACTTGTATTGTACAGTTCCTATTAACATTAATACCATAATGTCACCATCATCTTTATTATTGAACAATTACCATAATCATTACTTTTCTTTGGTCACTAATGGCCTCCAATATTTTAAGTACCTAGAAATGAGTCATTTCTCTTTCAACAGTTAGAACCCTGGTTGCTAGGCGATCCCCCTCATTCTGAGATTCTGAAGGAAGGCTCTCTTGGCCAGGAGCGGAGAGGTGTCACAGGGGCTGCTGTGTTCTCAACCAGAAAACATGTATTTTCCTGCTTTTATAATGATAATAATGCTGCCGTATCATACTTATACGGAACAAATATTAGATTTTACTGAGTTACAGTTCATATAAGAAAATCAGTCAATTGAAATAAATTCATTAGGCCCTAATTTATGGATTTCACATGACTTGGCATAGGCCAACCCACTTGGGAGCCAGGCCCACCGACTGGGGAGCCAGGCCCAGCCAATCAGAATGAGTTTTTCCCCACAAAAGGGCTTTATTACAGACAGAAACACTCAGTTTCATCAGCTGTCCAGGAGGCTGGTCTCAGACGATGCCACAGGTGAAGAAGCTGGATGTGGAGGTCCTGGGCTGGCGTGGTTACACGTGGTCTGTGGATGTGAGGCCGGTTGGACGTAGTGCCAAATTCTCTAAAACAACGTTGAGGTGGCTTACGGTAGAGAAATTAACATTACATTTCTGGCAACTGCTCTGGTGGACATTCCTGCAGTCAACATGCCAATTGCACACTCCCTCAATACTTCAGACATCTGTGGCATTGTGTTGTGTGACAAATCTGCACATTTTAGAGTGGCCATTTATTGTCCCCAGCACAAGTTGCACCTGTGTAATGAGCATGCTGTTTAATCAGCTTCTTGATATTCAACACCTGCCAGGTGGATGGATTTTCTTGGCAAATGAGAAATGCTCACTAACAGGGATGTACATTTTTTTTTGGATAAATAAGCTTTTTGTTCGTATGGAAAATGTCTGGGATCTTTTATTTCAGCTCATGAAACATGGGACCAACACTTTACATGTTGCGTTTATATTTTTGTTCAGTAGATATAGTTCCAAAAATAACAGCGCCTGTTTTGATTGCCGTTGCCATGCCGATGGAGCCCTTCCATTACTTCGAGTTGGGAGCTGTTAGCTGAGGGCAGCACTGATTTAATCCAATATTATCTTTATACTGCAGATGGATAAACAGTCAGCTGGAACAACAGATAAAACCTTTGTTATTGTGAGTGTGTTTTGAACCATTGAGTGTGTTGTGATGAGAACAAAACAGCACAAATGAAATTAAAAAGAGAATACTATATATTGAGCACAACACAGCACAGCACACTTGATCAACAGTCACACAGCACTCAGCCCAGAGAGAGAAGCTGTATTTCTTATTCTAAGACTGATAAAATATTGAGGCCATCTTAGCAGGGATTGCACTTGTAATAGATGAGCAGCTAGTGGCTTTATTGCTAACGATCGAATTCAACAGGCCATTACAAAGTGGGATGATCTGCTCACTACATTAACCGAGAGGAGAGGAGAAGTGGTATTTTTGGAAACACTTATGCAGTGCACCATCTCTTTATTCAGCAGCTTAGCAACAAGTCCTACACACACACAGACACACACCTTACCTCAGGCACACAATTGCACGTTTGAATTGAATGTGTTGTCGATCGTGATCATTATTTTTTTATCAAGTGTCACTTCCTTTAAATGACACGGCGAGGGGTTATAAATCATTCTGTTAATGATGTAGTGTAATTGTCTCAAATGGCTGAGATGTCAATTGAGGCATACTATGAGAAAATATGGTAGCTACTTTATTGTATACAGTGGTTGTAGAGCAGGGTTCTTCAACTCCGGTCCTGGAGGGCCGAAACACCTCTGTTTTTCATCCTCTCCTTCTAACCAGGGGCTAATTCAGACCTGGGACACCAGGTGAGTGCAATTAACTACCAGGTAGAAATAAAAAACAGAAGTGTTTCGGCCCTCCAGGACCGGAATTGAAGAACCCTGTTGTAGAGTATGGCTTCAGGGCTCACTCACAAACACACAGACTAAAACACAGAGACAGGAGTGCACACGTGCACACACAGATCACTACCCCCCTCCCACCCGCAACACAAACGCACGCACACACACACACAATTTCCATTTGTTCTGTCATCACATTAAATGTGTCAATTAGCCAATCGCACGGTGAGGTTAGAGAGGCTAATAGAATAGAAGAACCCGAGCACCTTGCTTTTCTCCTCCTCCTCTCCCGGGGAATTGCTCTCCTTTATCTCTTTAAGTTGAATTAAATCCAGACGACTGTCTGTCTATTATTATATGTTAACATTGATTAGCCTCCCAGCCAGACAGAGGCCTTAGTAGAACAGATGAGGGAGAGAGAGAGAGAGAGAGAGAGAGAGAGGAGAGAGAGAGAGAGAGAGAGAGAGAGAGACTGCAGCGTCACATTAACAAATGAGAGAAAAGGAAAGATTAAAAAGTAGAGGTGGAGGAGGGAGAAGGGAGTGAGGTGAGAAAAGAGTTGGAGGAGAAGAGAGACAAGGCAGTCAGGTAGTGGATAAGAGGGGGAGCAATGACCTGTGGTGACCAAGCAGTACCTTGTGGAAGGGGTCTGTCCTCATGTTGCGAGAGGCCAGAGGCTCATCAAAGGGGAATACTACAGAGTAGTTCTTAGCATAGGACTCATGACTCCGCTCTCTGATCCACTTATTGTTGTCTGTCAGGGAGTGGTGGAACCGCCTGTTGAGGAGAAAGAGAGCTTTGACAACTATCTCTCTCTCTGTGTGTGTGTGTGTGTGTGTCTGTGTGTGTGTCCATACCTGATGTCGTAGCCGTACATGTCCTTCTCAGGACGTCCATGGATGATCCAGTGGGCTAGCTCCCTGCCACAGCCTCCTCCCAGCATCATACCTGCAACACACACACAGATAGATCAGTATCACACACACTTAGATAGCCTTCATCAATCTCTCTCTCTCTCTCTCTCTCTCAAGGCCAGGGCTCTGAAGGTGCGCACACACAGGGGAGGCTGTCTGTCCATCACTGACGTAAAATACAGCTCTCACTAATGTCATATCACAGATGTAACATCAAAAGGCCAGGTGACAGGGGAGGAGAGGTAGAGGATCACTCAACCAGTGGCGATTTTAGTATGTCAATCTTGGTGGGGCCCAAAAAACATTTTTTGATGCATGCCAGCGAAGCCACTACACAACTCTAAACAATTCATTAAATGCACTATAACGGTGACAAACGGTGCCCACAAACTTTTAGGGTCTACATAAAGCTGTCCTGAAAGTGGAGCTTATGGCTGACTTGCTTAAATAAATATGGTCTCTACTGGCTCCTGGTGAATTTGTGTAACTGGATAAGAACCACATTCTCCTTCAATAATAATGAAGGTCGACATGAGTTTTGACTTTTGAACCATACACAAACATTATTACATTTATGTTCAGTAAATTCACAATGTTTATTCTTATATAATTAACACTTAGTTCTAAGTATAAGCAAGTTCAAGCAAACTGCGATGAGGTAGACTTATTTCTTCAGCAATTTCAAAATGGACAGTGACAGAAATTCAGATAGATATTAGTTCAGATAAATTCAGCAAGATGTTGAGGCCTTCACTTTACTATTCTTTAAGTCACCACAGAGAGAGAAAGAGAGAGAGAGAGAGACCCATACTCAGCGGTTAGCCTAACATTTGAAGTATTTTATTAGGCCTACATGGTCTAAAAAGGAAGAACAATACAAATCACGAGGATCCACTTTTACAGCGCATTGCGCAAACAAAACAACTCCCTGTACACCAAGTCAGAACCGTAGGCTAAATTAACAGGGACACATAAGCAGACAATGAAAGCTCTTACAATGTGGGCAGGTAAGCAGGCAATGAAAGCTGTTACAATGTGGGCAGGTAAGCAGGCAATGAAAGCTGTTACAATATTCGAAGATGAGATTTCTCTAAAACAGGCTATAGGCTACATGTGCACCACCAGGTCAGAACAGTAGGCTAAGTTATGAGGGGGAAAGGATCCAAATTATTAGGGTGAGGCACATGGGCTACTAACTGCTTACTACATAACATACACTTAGTATTCCTTTCTTAGCTGCAGTAAACACATCTCCCTGGCATATTACATCACTTATGCAGCAGCATCCAAGACATATTTATGGACTCACCATTGTTGTGCTGTGCTCACTTAAACAGGAAGTTGGCAAGGTGGTCCTTCTTGAGGGCAAACTTCTCAAGTACTTTGTCATCAAAGTCTGGCATCCTCTGGATGAAGTCATCCTGGATTGACAGCATGGCCAATGCATTTAACCTTTTCTGGCCAATGGAGTTGCGTATGAAGGTTTTTATCCTTTTATGGGTGGAAAAGTTTCTCTCTGACTCGGCGGTTGTCATCGGAGTGGTGATTTTGAGACGAGAGACCGTCTCAGACAAGGCCTCCTGCAGGTTGTTCTCGTAGGGTGATTTCAATAAAGAAAGTGCTGTCTTTCCAGTGAGCAGCTCGTGATGCCGGTAGACAGTGAACAGCTCCCTTTTCAACTTCTCCTGGTTGCCCACAGGCCATAGCTTGGTAGCACACTGCGGTCAGAAAGGAATCCTTCAGTAGCGTTTGGACACCACGTACATTACCACTCATCTTAGGTTTGTGCAACCAGCTTCTCCTTGACATTCAGTGGCGCTAGGACTTGTTTGATGGTATTGTAGAGGCCAACACCAGTTTAGCCTTTCACCTCTACAAAAACCTCTCACACACACTGTTGTCTGGTAACATGTAGCGCAGCACTATTACCATCTGTGATTTATAGGAGACGTCAGTGGTCTCGTCTGCCTGTACAGACGCAAAAGGAGTCTCAGACACCTCCTTAGCTATTGCTTCTCTTTACACTTCATACATACAATCCAAACGTTAGTTTTGGATCTTGCTTGATTCACCCTTAAAAATTGGTTGATCGTCATAATGCCTTTGTAGCCTGTAATCGCCTTCACACATGGTCTCAAAAATACACCTGAAAACGCCTGTGTTCAAGGAGTCGGCCGACTCGTCTTGGCCCCGCAGTGCTGTCTCACAATTGCCATACAATTTAATGCATGCTACAATTCTGGCAAGCACGTACCTATTCTCCTCCGTTTGTTGGTTGTGGAGGTCGATGGCTCGTCTACATGCGGTGTCTAGCTGAGCCACAATGTTTAATTTCCCCGGTTATCCCAGTTTAACAGTGTTGTCTTCTATGTTTTAAATCCTTAATCCCAGACTTGGACCGCACACGCTCTCCACTGAATAGCAGGCAGGGGAAGCAAAATAGTGATTGCTTTGCAACGCTAGCACTGCTTCCTTCCAAACCACTCATTGTTGAATTTGCAATTTCCGACTTATGTAATGCTAATATCCAATGGCCGATGAGCACCGAGAGGTTTTATCTCCAGTAGATTGTCGACTTCATTCATGATGATGACTGCTAGCTTGCTAGCTAAGACTTTGAAAGTATGATGTTGACATGATCAGTCCAATCAAAGCTACTGTATTTTATCTGTGGCCAATGACAGCCTTCTTGGATGGGCACTTCTAATGTAACTCTATGGCAGCACCCAAGGGCCTTGAATTTGAGCTCTCCCCGTAGATTTTACGGTGACATAGTGTCCCCATGAGTGACAGAACACTGAGCCAATCATGGCGCAACTAGAGAACATTACCAACCCCTATGCTCTGTATTTCCACTGGCTGCCCCACCACCACAGAATGCACTGATCTAAGCTGAAACAACTGCATTTTGGAGCTGCCTTACTCAAGAAAGCAAAAGCGAGACCACGTTTGTATACGGCTTTATTAACTCAATATCATTATATATATATATATATATTTTTACATTGTTTGCAAACTGATATGTGACACGTATTAATGGCAAATTAAGCAAAACAGGCACCCCCCCCCCCATGAGAATAGTTGGAGAAGGAAAAAAAGAGAGAATAGAATAAGGGGTGAGATGTGGCAGGGGGAGAGAGAGAGAGACAGAGAAAGAGAGAGAGACAGACAGCGATGAGTGAAAAGAACAGGGTGAAACAGAGACAGAGGGTGGAGAGGAGAGAGGCTGTGTGTCTCAGTGTGTAGTACGGCGGTCTAGCTGGCTGGCCTGGCTAGCAGTGTCTCTGAAGGACGTTTTGCATGTTAGCAGACAGACAAGACAGATGAGATAGACACAGACAAACACTCATTAAAATGGGCCCAGCAACACAGCCTCACTAATTAACTACCGCCATCATCCAGCCCACCAGTCGTGCGTCGCCTGTCCCCCTCCAACAGATCTGGGACCCCCTCCAGAACCAAACAGGGCCGGAGGAGAGGGGGTGGAGGATGCTTAACAGGGGTGAGTTTCCAGAGTACTTTGTAGCTAATGTGGTCCTTTATATCTCGACACTCATAGAACAGCAAAGTGCTTATTTTGACCAGTGGTGTAAAGTACTTAAGTAAAAATACTTTAAAGTGCTACTTCAAGTAGTTTTTTGGGGTATCTGTACATTACCATTTATATTTTTGACAACTTTTACTTTTACTTCACTACATTCCTAAAGAAAATAATGTACTTTTTACTCCATACATTTTCCCTGACACCCAAAAGTACTCGGTACATTTTGAATGCTTAGCTGGACAGGAAAATGGTCCAATTCACACACTTATCAAGAGAACATCACTGGTCATCCCGACTGCCTCTGATCTGACGGACTCACTAAACACAAATGCTTTGTTTGTAAATTATTTCTGAGTGTGCCTCTAGCTTTCCGCAATAAAAAAACAAGAAAATCGTGCTGCCTGTTTTGCCTAATATAAGGAATTTGAAATTATTTAAACTTTTACTTTTGATACTTAAGTATATTTAAAACCAAATACTTTTACTCAAGTAGTATTTTACTGGGTGACATTCACTTTTACTTGAGTCATTTTCTATTAACGTGTCTTTACTTTTACTCAAGTATGACAATTGGGTACTTTTTCCCAATGTTCCTTAACTCCAAAGACAGCTGGAGAGGTATGGGTTGGGTAAAGTTATCTGGGCAGGTTAGAGGTCAGAAAAACTTCAGCTCTCAGAGAGTGTTTGGTATGGTGCTGCCTCTGAAATATTCCACAGGAATATTCCAGGAAGGTGCGCATACAAGTCAGTTCATGGACTGCTGATGTTGTTGACAAATAACACAAAAAGGGGCATCATGGGAGCAAAACAGATTGACTCGAGTTAGAAGCAGCAGCATAGCTTTGTTGTTAGTTGTTTATATTTGTGTGAGGATGGCATGGCATGACCCAGGGTGCCAACACGGTACACCGTGACTCAATCAGCCTGGCCCACACAGCCTTCTGCTTTAGCACAAAGAAAGGGAGGGAGGGGACCAAAAGCGAGCGACGGGGGCCGACTGTTCTCGGTTCTCCTTTCAAAAGCAGCCTCAATCACTGCCGGTATTTCTGTAAATGTCAGAGGAGATGAGAGGAGAGAGAGGGTGTTTGTAGTGTGAGGAGAGAGAGAGAGGAAGAGAGAGAAGAAGGAAAAAGGGAAAAATGGAAAGAGGGAGAGAAAGAGAGCAAGGAACAGAGAGAGAGAGATGAGAGAGAGAAGAGAGGAGAGAGAGAGAGACGACGAGACGAAGAGAGAGAGAGAGAGAGAGAGAAGAGAAGAGAGAGAGAGAGAGAGAGAGAGAGGAGAGGAGGGATGGAGGCAGAGGAGAGGACAGACGAGAGAGAGAGGAGCGAGAAAGATTAAGAGGGAGAGAGACATTACTGTCTGGTTGTTCACTTCACAGGGAGAGTCTGCTCAGCCAAGAGGGATCACGTCACCCCCAGCAGGTGTCTCACAGCGGGGGAGGAGGGGGAAGACTGGGAGGAGGAACCACACCCACACGATGAGCCGGGACACCAAAGCACTCTGGGATATCTAAGTTGACGTTCGCGCCGATGTTCCAGTCTCGTTCGCTCCAGCATCGACAGAGACGGACAGTGTCTTGGGAGAGCTCCTCCTCTATCCCTCCTCCCCCTCTTCATCCCTCTATCCCCCCCCCCCCCTTCATCCCTCTATCCCCCCCACCCAAGCAGGCCCAGCCCTGAGCGACAGCAGTGGAGAACGAGCCAAGTGATGAGAGATGGGAGGAGAGGAGGAGCCAGCAGGGAAGGAAGACGCAGGCCGTGTGATGGCCTCCTCGAAACTAGGCTACACGCACATCTCCATACACACTTGCACACATAAATAAAAACACCCACCCACCAAACCACACAAGGCGGTACAGAAAAACGCAAACATTCAGACACAGGCAAAGCACACTGAAGGAGATTCCAAAAGGCCCTTAGAAGGCAAAACCTTAGCAGACAAATATTCCCTCAGAGGAGTATGTGTGTATGTGGAGTGTGTTGAGAGGATGCTTCACTATGAGAAGTGGAACTGCAACGATCTCAGTGTGTAGTCAACCGTGTCCTCCACAGTGTCTCTTCCTCATCTCCTTCCATTAATCTGCACTGATCTGATCTACACAGACAGGCCAGACTGGGGAAAGAAAACGTCCTATCATAATGCTTTGTCATTAGAGATCAGTGCAGATAAGAGAGAGAAAAGGTGACCCAAACTCATCGGTAATCTATCCAAAAAAAAAGTCAAAAATATTCACAAGGCTAAACACAACAGAGGTAGAACAGTACATTGGCTGGCTTGGCCAGGGACTGACATAATAATGGGGGATATGTAAGGTGGAGGTGTGAGGAAGGGGAAGCAAGGTGAGACAGGGGTTGAGGGGTGCAGGATTGACCTGTGGTGGGGGGGGGGGGGGGGGAGAGACAGAGAGACACAGATAGAGAGGTGACATGAAGGAGGGGGGAAAGTGGTGCAGAACTAGTGACCTGGCCTTAGGGCACACACAGACAGACAGTGAGCCAATCCAAAATGATCCACTAAACCCTACAACCTATGCACTTGTTGAGATCTGAGAGGATTGGATTGGTATAAGCAACATAGGGAAACTAGCCTATCAGAGGGCAATATGGAGCCAGATTGATTACACCTGAACTCCACAAGTGCATAGGTTCCAGGGCTTATGGGAGGATTTGGGATTGGGCCACAGCTGGTAGGGAGGGAAAGGGGGAGTGGGGGAAGGTGACACAGAGAGGGTAACCCAGCGTTGGGGACATGTGTTCAGGGACAGCCACATCAGGCTACGTCAGCACAACACTAGAGGACAGAGTACTAGAACCACTCTACGCCACGGTCGACTGCTGCCTCTGGGCTCAGCGTCTTTCACACCATTCGCTCCCCTCCTTCTTTTGTTCTCTCCCTCTCAATCTCTTTCTGTCCCTGCCCGTCTATTTCCCTGTCCCACTCCCCGCTCTGTCTTTCTCCTCCCCCCTTCCATCTTCCCCCTCTTTAAAAGGCTTCTGGTAAAAGGAAGGCTATTGTGTGAGTGAGTGAGCTGTATAGAAAATGTATAAAACCCCAGCTGAGCCAGCAGGCAAAAAGGCCATGGTTACGTTCCAAATGGCACCCTATTCCCTAAAGGCCCTGGTCAAAAGTAGGGCACTATAAAGGGGATATGGTGGCATTTGGGACACATACCATGTGTTAAGTGTGTAAATGAATCAGACACAGCGGTACTCTGTGTGTGTGGAGAGGGAGAGGCATGACATTTTTTGCAGAGAGAGAGAGAGAGAGAGAGAGAGAGAGAGAGAGAGAGACTGAGCAGAGCAGGCAGCATCACTCTGAGACCGTAGCTGGCGGTGTAAGTAGCTGATCTGCCATGAACAGGGTCAGAGTTTAACCTCCCATGATGCATTGATCTTTGGGGGATGGACTAATGAAGTGTGACACAGGAGCACCCGTGTGTGGTCTCTCTGGACTCAGTGGTCCACGTAGTTTGGGTTCACTATAGGTTAGTTTAGAGTGAAACGTAAGTGTTTGTTGGTGTGTGCTGGCAAGCATATAGTGGTTCCATGAATGTTTAAACAGCTGTAACATACATCCATGACATGTACAGTTGAAGTCGGAAAACTGTCATTAAAACTCGTTTTTCAACCACTCCACAAATGTCTTGTTAACAAACTATAGTTTTGGCAAGTCGGTTAGGACATCTACTTTCTGCATGACACACGTAATTTTTCCAACAATTGTTTACAGAGAGATGATTTCAATTATAACTCACTGTATCACAATTTCAGTGGGTCAGAAGTTTACATACACTAAGTTGACGGTGCCTTTAAAAAGCTTGGTAAATTCCAGAAAATGTTGTCATGGCTTTAGAAACTTCTGATAGGCTAATTGACATAATTTGAGTCAATTGGAGGTGTACCTGTGGATGTATTTCAAGGCCTACCTTCAAACTCAGTGCCTCTTTGCTTGACATCATGGGAAAATCAAATGAAATCAGCCAAGTCCTCAGAAAAAGAATTGCAGACCTCCACAGGTCTGGTTCATCCTTGGGAGTAATTTCCAAATGACTGAAGGTACCACGTTCATCTGTACAAACAATAGTACGCAAGTATAAACACCATGGGACCACGCAGCCGTCATACCGCTCAGGAAGGAGACGCGTTCTGTCTCCTAGAGATGAACGTACTTTGGTGCAAAAAGTGCAAATCAATCCCAGAACAATAGCAAAGGACCTTGTGAAGATGCTGGAGGAAACCGGTACAAAAGTATCAATATCCACAGTAAACCGAGTCCTATATCGACATAACCTGAAAGGCCACTCAGCAAGGAAGAAGCCACTGCTCCAAAACCGCCATAAAAAAGCCAGACTACGTTTTGCAACTACACATGGGGACAAAGATCGTACTTTTTGGAGAAATGTCCTCTGGTCTGATGAAACAAAAATAGAACTGTTTGGCCATAATGACCATCGTTATGTTTGGAGGAAAAAGGGGGTTGCTTGCAAGCCGAAGAACACAATCCCAACCGTGAAGGACAGGGGTGGCAGCATCATGCTGTGGGGGTGCTTTGCTGCAGGAGGGACTGGTGAACTTCACAAAATAGATGGCATCATGAGGAAGGAAATTTATGTGGATATATTGAAGCAGCATCTCAAGACATCAGTCAGGAAGTTAAAGCTTGGTCGCAAATGGGTCTTCCAAATGGACAATGACCCCAAGCATACTTCCAAAGTTGTGGCAAAATGGCTTAAGGACAACAAAGTAAAGGTATTGCAGTGGCCATCACAAAGCCCTGACCTCAATCATATAGAACATTTGTGGGCAGAACTGAAAAAGCGTGTGCGAGCAAGGAGGCCTACAAACCTGACTCAGTTACACAAGCTCTGTCAGGAGGAATGGGCCAAATTTCACCCAACTTATTGTGGGAAGCTTGTGGAAGGCTACCCGAAACGTTTGACCCAAGTTAAGGGCAATTTAAAGGCAATGCTACCAAATACTAATTGAGTGTATGTAAACTTCTGACCCACTGCGAATGTGATGAAAGAAATAAAAAGCTGAAATAAATTATTCTCTCTACTATTATTCTGACATTTCACATTCTTAAAATAAAGTGGAGATTCTAACTGACCTAAGACAGGGAATTTGTCCTAGGATTAAATGTCGGGAATTGTGAAAAACTGAGTTTAAATGTATTTGGCTAAGGTGTATGTAAACTTCCGACTTCAACTGTACATCCCATATAACCACCATTCACCCAAACATCCACTCCTCCCTCTGGCCTCGTTCCTGCACTGCAGCTGACCCTGTGCTTCCACCCCTCGGGTGTGTGTGTCTTGGGGTGTTGGGTTAAAAGCAAAAAGAAATTTCCGTGGACTGTACGGAAAATAGATCAATAATGTATTCTTCTTGGTTCCTCCAATACTCACATGCACTGTGTGTGTGTGTGTGTGTGTGTGTTAGAGTCACTCACCTGCACTGTTGAAGCCGCAGCCCAGGAAGAATCCCCTGACCTCTGGAGCCTCACCCATCAGGGGCTTGTGGTCCGCTGTGAATGATTCTGGGTAAAAAAAGATACACGTAGTGTTAAGGGACCTTTCCATCCATTCTGAAACACCACCAGAGCCATGTACAGTATAGTGATACATCTATGGCTCTGGTCACCACTATGTGAATATCTACAGTCTCTAGAGTCTAATCTATTCACAATGCTGAAGACAAGGCATTTTAATAAATAAAATAAATAAATAATCGAATTACAATTAAGTATTACCTCCCCCCCCCACCCACCCCACCCCCAAACATGTCTTATCCACTCTTGGTTAGTTGAGCCAAACGCTACTCGACTATGACCTCCATCTCACCACACAGACCGACGTAATCGAGAGAGAGAACATTAAGAGGGTAAGGAAAGAGAGAGCGGTGGCAGATGGGAGATCTGAACACACCTTTGCCATTATTCCACATGAGGGATAATTACTAGAGTATGAGAGCACCCAGAGCTCTCCTCTCCAATAAGTAGGGCGTCTCACAGAACAGAACAGGGCAGAATAGCATCACAGCTTACGCATAGCTCCTCAAACTAAGGTACCTTAAGGCAAATAGGTGACCTTCCCACTCACTTTTCAGGCTTTCACCCAAGGTCAGATTTCACTGGGACCCTTAGTAAGAAATCAAGTCTGAGGTAGGCGTCGCTCACATCCACACTGGCCTCTCTAGGGAGACGTGTAACTGCCTATAAGGTATTAATTCGCCACTAAGAAACAAACACACAGAAATAACAGGCTTTTGTTTGTTTTGTAGTGGTGAGCGACAACCCTGAGCGACACAACCCTTTCACTGGGGAGTTAGCAGCCATGCTGGCTTAAAAACAAAACATAAATGTGTATTTTGTACATACATTAAGTAGCACATAAAAACACGCGCATGAATGGGCACATGCAGAGGTCCAGAAGGAGTGCTCATGAATACAGACGTGCACTAGGGGAGTGAACGTTTAGATGTTAAAAATGTTTAAAAGGGATACTTCAGGATTAGTTTCGCAAACCAATGCTAACTAGCATTAGCGCAATGACTGGAAGTCTATGGGTATCTGCTAGCATCCTCTCATCATGTCCATTTTCAGTGAGTCAGGACCAGACAGATGAAAGTTAACAAACCAGCATGATTCTAACAGATGCTGATTAAACACTGGTCAGGATCAATTCAATCCCACCACTGACTGATAGAGAGACAGAAAGACAGAAGAGAAAGAGATTGTGAGAGCGAGCGAGACAGAGAGAGCGAGCGAGACAGAGAGAGAGACAGACAGACACCACGGGACTTAAGTGTGAGTGAGGATGCCTGGAGATCCAGTCTACCGCTAGTGTGAAACCACCAGACAACCAGGTAGGTCTTTCACCAGTCTCTTACCAGTCGATCGCCTCTCTTCCCCAAAGTCACACAGTTTTTCACACCTGTCAGCTCTCATGAGAGCTGAGGGACTGTATTCCCTGGACTCACAGAGTCCATAGACTCAAGCCTCTCACGGGCAACGGGCCTTGACCAGTGATATCCTCCTGTCTCAGAGACACCAACCTCGGTCAGTTCAGACACACAGTCTGTCCCAAGTCACCAGACTACGGTCAAAGTTCAACACTGATCCAAATGAGAGGCCACAGGACAGATATGAGGAATACAAATATGACAGAGGGGAACTATTGGGGTTAGCTGTAGGTGGGGGGTTAAAAGAGAGAGAGAGAGAGAGAGAGAGATGTGGCAAATATCTTTGGAGGACTGTATATTAAATGAGTGTTGATGTCTGTCAGCGTTTGTAATTGCGTGTGAAAGAATGTTGTATAACAAATCATTGTTTGTCTTTTAGGAGTGTCTGAATTTTAATACAGTGCCTTCAGAAAGTATTCATACCCCTTTACCTACTGCACATTTTGTTGTGTTACAGAGAATTCAAAATTGATGAAATTGTAGTTTTTTTGTTCACATTTATTGAAAATGAAATACAGAAATCTCGTTTACATAATTCTTCACACCCCTGAGTAAATGCATGCTATAATCACCTTTGGCAGTGATTACAGCTGTGAGTCTTTCTGGGTAAGTCTAAGAGCTTTGCACACCTGGATTGTACAATATTTGCACTTTTTTTTTTTTTTTAATCCATCAAGCTCTATCAAGTTGGTTGTTCATTATTGCTAGACAGCCATTTTCAAGTCTTGCCATAGATTTTCAAGCCGATTTATGTCAAAACTGTAACTAGGCCACTCAGGAACATTCAATGTCAGTTGGGTAAGCAACTCCAGTGTATACAGTGCATTCGGAAAGTATTTAAACCCCTTAACTTTTCCACATTTTGTTATGTTACATTATTCTAAAATTGATTAAATTGTTCCCCCCCCCCCATCAATCTAATCTACACACAATACCCAATAATGACAAAAATAAAAATTAAGGGTTTTAGAATTTTTTGCAAAGGTATTAAAAATAAAAAAACGGAAATATCACATTTACATAAGTACATTTGTTGAAGCACCTTTGGCAGCGATTACAGCCTTGAGTCTTCTTGGGTATGACGCTACAAGCTTGGCACACCTGTATTTGGGGAGTTTCTCCCATTCTTCTCTGCAGATCCTCTCAAGCTCTGTCAGGTTGGATGGGGAGTGTCGCTGCACAGCTATTTCCAGGTCTCTCCAGAGATGTTCGATTGGGTTCAAGTCCGGGCTCTGGCTGGTCCACTCAAGGACAATCAGAGACTAGTCCCAAAGCCACTCCTGTTTTTTCTTGGCTGTGTGCTTAGGGTCGTTGTCCTGTTGGATGATGAACTTCGCCCCAGTCTGAGGTTCTGAGCACTCTGGAGCAGGTTTTCATCAAGGATCTCTGTACTTTGCTCTGTTCATCTTTGCTTCTATCCTGACTAGTCTCCCAGTCCCTGCCACTGGAAAATATCCCCACAGCATGCTGCCACCACCATGTTTCACCGTAGGGATGTTATTGGCCAGGTGATGAGCAGTATCTGGTTTCCTCCAGATGTGACACTTGGCATTCAGGCCAAAGAGTTCCATCTTGGTTTCATCAGACCAGAGAATCTTATTTCTCATGGTCGGAGAGACCTTTAGGTGCCTTTTGGCAAACTCCAAGCGGGCTGTCATGTGCCTTTTACTGAGAAGTGGCTTCCGTCTAGCCACTCTACCATAAAGGCCTGATTGGTGGAGTGCTGCAGAGTTGCTTGTCCTTCTGGAAGGTTCTCCCATCTCCACAGAGGAACTCGGGTTCTTGGTCACCTCCCTGACCAAGGCCCTTCTCCCCCGATTGCTCAGTTTGGCCAGGCGGCCAGCTCTAGGAAGAGTCTTGGTGGTTCCAAACTTCTTCCATTTAAGAATGATGGAGGCCACTGTGTTCTTGGGGACCTTCAATGCTGGAGAAATGTTTTGGTACCCTTCCCCAGATCTGTGCCTTGACACAATCCTGTCTCGGAGCTCTACGGACAATTCCTTCGACCTCATGGCTTGGTTTTTGCTCTGACATGCACTGTCAACTGTGGGACCTTATACAGACAGGTGTGTGCGCGCCTTTCTAAATAATGTCCAATCAATTGAATTTACCACAGGTGGACTCCAATCAAGTTGTAGAAACATGAACAATGATCAATGGAAACAGGACGCACCTGAGCTCAATTTCGAGTGTCATAGCAAAGGGTCTGAATACTTATGTAAATAAGACATTTGTTTTTTTGTTTTTTATATGCCAAAAATTCTAAAAACCTGTTTTCGCTTTGTCATTATGGGGTATTGTGTGTAGATTGATGAGGAAAATAATTATTTTCATCCATTTTAGAATAAGGCTGTAACATAACAAAATAAGGAAAAGTGAAGGTCTGAAAATTTTCCGAATATAATGTATTTGGCCATGTGTTTTAGGTTATTGTCCTGCTGAAAGGTGAATTTGTCTCCCAGTGACTAACTGTTTTACAGTGAAATCCCTGAGCGGTTTCCTTCCTCTCCGGCAACTGAGTTAGGAAGGACGCCTGTATCTTTGTGGTGACTGGGTGTATTGATACACCATCCAAAGTGTAATTAATAACTTCACCATGCTCAAAGGGATATTCAATTTCTGCTTTTTTTATTAATTTTTTTTATCTACCAATAGATGCCCTTCTTTGTGAGGCATTGGGAAAACCTCCCTAGTCTTTGTGGTTGAATCTGTGTTTGAAATTCACTGCTCGACTAAGGGAACTTACAGATAATTGTACAATATGTCTGGGGTACAGAGATGAGGTAGTCATTCCAAAATCATCTTATTAACACCATTATTGCACACAGAGTGAGTCCATGCAACTTATTATGTGACTTGTTATGCACATTTTTACTCCTGAACTTATTTAGGTTTGCCATAACAAAGGGGTTGAATACTTATTGACTCAAGACATTTCAGCATTTCATTTTTTTATTAGTGTGTAAACATTTCTAAAAACATAATTCCACTTTGACATTGTGGGGTATTGTGTGTAGGCAGTGCCAAAATCTCAATTAAACACAACAAAATGTGGAAAAGGTCAAGGGGTGTGAATACTTTCTGAAGGCACTGTAAATTACTGACTGAGGGAGTGATTATGGGAGTGTGAACCATATCAGTGTGTGTGTGTGTGTGTGTGTGTGTGTGTGTGTGTGTGTGTGTGTGTGTACACAGTACTGTAGGTCCCTACCTGGTCCACAGACAGTGGATTTGATGCCAGTCTGCTCCAGAGCGGGGACTCTGTTGATAGCTCCCGCTATGTGCTGCATAAACACATCCCAGTCCAGGTCAAACAGGCTGAAGGCAAACTTATCAGACACCTGCAACACAAAGACACACAAGAACCAAAACATATTAGACACCTGCAACACAAGGACAACAACCAAAAGTGTTTAATCAACCAAACTTATCAGACACCTGCAACTAGTGCTGAGCTATTAGCCAACATTTTTGTTATTTTTAGTTTTTTAAACAACTAATTGACTGATGTCGGTTCAATTACTCGAATTCCATTTAGTATTTTTTTTTCCTTCTGTGAGCTCAACGCATCGTTTCTCTAAGAAGCATGGAGCAGCTCACTTAAGAACGACATTGGTAGCCAGTAGGGTAGAAAGACGTTTAAACGTATATTTACCAGTAAATGCTAACTAAGGCAACAATGGGTATGTAAACCAGGTATTGAAAAAGTTGATATCATGATGATTTGTATAATTCGGGAGGGCATTTGTTTGCAAACTCTACTTTCACATGTAGGACATTGTACAGTAGTACAGAAACACCCTAGCCAAACTGTCTCCTGCTAGGTGTGCAATTGAATTAAAGGGCAACTACGACCTCCCCAAAATATATATTTTAGATTTTTCCCATACTTCAAATGGTCTCTTGATGTGGTTTAAGCATTGTTGTGGACTTAAAACTATTTTTTTTTAATGTAAAAGACAGTGTGATTTTGAGAGTGAAAACCAAAAATATCTAGAGGAAATCATAGGAGGGCTGGCCATTTGGGAATTTTTGGGCAAAATTAGAGCATACCCACTTCACCAGGCACCATTACACCACTGCTTGAAAGGAAATAATAAAGTTATATACACAACAACTGAAATATTATATTAAAGTAATGTGAATAAATAAAGGTTAATAAGTGATTAGCCGTAATGATCAGTCACCATCAGGCCTTTATTAATTGTTTTATTCTGTGTTGTTAGAGCATTCAGACAATGCATAATAAAAATTGAAAAACGTGACTATTTTTCAAAAACTGAACCCGAACCGACCTCTAAAAGCACTAATCGCTCAGCACTACCTGCAACAAAAGGACACACAACAACCCACCAGTGTTAACCAAGGACACAACAACCAACCAGTGTTACTGTTAACACCACCACGGCCTCAACAATGCTGCACTGCACTTGTGCAATCTTCAAAAGACACTGCTTTCGCAAACACTTAGTACAAATAGGTGCACAGTTATGGAAGCGCACACACCGTTCATCCCATCTTTCAAACATCACACAGGGAGACAGAGAGAGAGATGATGCAGAATACTCCGCGAAACAGTGTGAATATGCCACAGTGGATGGACTGATGCTCTAAAGAGTACAAAGGGATCAAGTTTAAAAAAATAAAAAAAGGTTGGAGGCTGCAGGGCCAGCCAGGTAACGGTGACCTTTTCCTGCAAGAATGCACGCACGCACACACAGTGATTTTCCGTCACAACGGCCCCTCATTACCAGTCGAGCCCTGGCCCCTAGGGAGCTCACAACACCAGATTCAACTTGGAACTCCTCCTCTTAAACTTCGCCAACATATCGTTCCACAGACCCAGCTTCTCTCTCTGTACTAAATGCATTTTCATTTTCTCACGTTGTTTCCCACTCTTGAAAGCTGGTGCTGACAGAGCAGAAAGGACAAAAACATTCCTTTATCCGGTTGAGGTGTTAGGTAATTTAGCGCTGTTCAATTGTTTGGCTAGATGTGAATGTTAAATGAGCTTGTGTGATGTGGTCTCTGCTTCACAGTTGGCGGTCAGAAGTGATTCTGGCGGGTGTGTGTTTGTGTACAGTAATTCCAGACTGAACAGGACCACACCAACTGAGCATGCTCCACAGAGAGGAGTGAGGGCATATTGACATCGAGTCAGTCAGAGCCGGTTTGCACCGACAGAACACGACACACACTCCAGCTAGACCAGCACATGCGCACACACACAAACAAACACACTCGCAGATCTCAATCTGTGTCCTGTTGTAACCTCATTTGAGGCTGCATACCCCCTAGCTAAAAGAGAGCGAGCGAGAGAGAGAATAAGACTGTAGTAGAGCCACAGACACTCAGCAGCTGGTGAAGTAATGAGTGTGTCTGTGCTTATCTGTGTGCGTGTGTATCCTGCTGGATCTTCTCCTCAGGCTGTGTGAGTAGGGAGCGGATACAACAATCCACTGACACACCAGAGGAAGAGAGCATGCAATTAACTGGCCTGTGAAAGTGAGACAAAGACAAGCAGCATGCCTCTCTGCAAGCTTCACTGCACCTCACAACACACACACAAACACACACAGAGAGACATGCAATACAAGCAAACAACCACACAAACACAGATACACGCCACATGCATAAACATAAAGATTCTCACAGATAGAGGTCAAATACTGTATACACAGTCACTCACACAAGCACCCATACAGTACACAACACCAAGTACCATACAAATCAATACACACAAACCACAGGAGGCTGCTGAGGGGAGAACGGCTCATAATAATGGCCGGAACGGAGCAAATGGAATGGCAAACACCTGGAAACCATGTGTTTGATGTATTTGATACTATTCCACCGATTCTGCTCCAGTTATTACCACAAACCTGTTCTCCCCAATTAAGGTGCCACCAACCTCCTGTGTCACAAACACAATGACATCATGTTCACAGTATGTCAACACAGTGAGAACACACACACACACACACACACACACATTACCTTGTCCCAGAAGACAGGGTTCTGTTCGTAACCCCCCACGGAGAGGGCATCGCCTTGGAGGCGAAGGTAGACAGATGCATCATGGTCCCTCACATTGGGCATGTTCTAGAAGGGTAGCAGGAAGAGAGACATTCTTTAGATCTACAAACTGTATACTCCTAACAGATCACAGGCACAATGATAATCTTAGAATATACACAAATAAACACAGTAGACCTAGCCTACTAGGTATACTTGGGTTTCACATATAACACTTAACAACACAAAAGGACAGGACGACATGTCATAGACATGAGTAGCATTAGCCTAGAGCAGGACTCCCCCAGTAGATCAGCGATCATCAGGCTCCTAAACAGAGTTCTGGGCGGTCTTGTAGTTACGGCTCATCAGACTTACCCGATAATAGTTCATCAAGGACATGACCAGCAGCAGAGAGGAGCAACGGCATGCGGTGTCCTCTTCCACTGTACTGATTATGGTCTAGAACTTGTCCCTCTCGATGACAGAAGTAGCTAGCTAGCCTCTCTCTCCCACCCCATACAGAACCAATCAGTCTATACAATAGAGAACAGACATCAGACGATATGAATCAGACGGAAGGTCACTACTGACCCACTAGTAGGGCAGAAGGTTCAAAATCACTGGCTGGCTGACTAGTGGCAGTTTCATCTCCATGGATACCGGGGCAAAACATAATAGTATGCCCAGCTGAGATGCAGATGAAAAACGCTACAAAACTACCCAAAAGTCCACTAGTTGGCCAATTGCTGTAGCCAGGTCTACCATTCCAATGCACTTTACAAAAATGTTTAGCCATAAGAAAAAAGACAACAATGATTAAAAAAGTATATATTATTATAATAATAATAATAATAATAATAATAATATGGTCCTCTGTAGCTCAATTGGTAGAGCATAGCGCTTGTAACGCCAGGGTAGTGGGTTCGATCCCCGGGACCACCCATACATAAAAATGTATGCACACATGACTGTAAGTCGCTTTGGATAAAAGCGTCTGCTAAATGGCATATTATTATTATAAAAATAAAATACACACAAGACGGAGACTGAACTGACACCACCAGAAAATACCAAATTAAAACCTATAAACACATCGAATACACAGTATAAATATATATCAAGCTAACTGTGTGAATGAATACCAGTTGAAATGCTGACTCATGTTTTTCGATACATCTTTCCTCCATTTCTGCTTTGAATTCCCAGTGAACAAAACATTACAGTACATTTTTTTTTTAAAGCATTGACCTTTGTGGGACTATTTTGTCCCAATGTGTTCCTGTCCTGTTGAAACAATACGGAAAACAGTCTGTTGCAAGTTACTGGAGGGCACAAATCAAACAGTTGGCATTCTCTTCTCTTTGCTGTCTAAAGCCTGTCTTTAGCTATAGGTGATAGACTGGTGTGTGTAGAACAGATCAATATGAGGCTGGCCTTGCAAACACACGCCATTTTCCAGTCTGCAGTAGATTGAGGCGTTTGACCTGACAGGTTACTTAACCACTAGACCTCTGTGTCTGTATGTCAGTGTGCATGCGTGTGTTTCACAGGGCAGATTCACAGGTTCGGTTGTGTTTTTGCAGCGTGCTGTGTAATGTTTGCTCTATGTTGCATAAAGCAGAAGGAGTATGTTTTTTCAGTGTACGTCTCAGCCTCAGGCCTTCAGGGCACACACACAGTTCTGATGATGTCTGTTTCGTTCTCCAGACCCCTGTCAGATGTCCCGATAATTTTCTGGTCATGCATCTTGTAGTACGAGCAGTGCTAAAATGCGATTGGGAGGGACTACTGACAATATCCAATGAACACTCAGCATGTCAGACAAAAACAATGAGTGGTGGGCACGTTTTGCACCGGGTGAAAGTTGATTGCATTAGTTTTGCAACCGGGCTGCCTCCTGGGTGTGAGCCAGGTGCCCCGTTCAAAACCCACAGCGAAGTCGGCTCAAAACAAAAAGTGACATAATTAAGCACGTGGAGTAATGAGTAGGATTCTGTGTTCACATGCAAAAGTGATTGCTTTTGATAAAAACGCTTTATCTGCCTTCCTAATTAACAATAGTTTGAAAATTCTAACATATTTAATGGAAAATATGTTTCTAGACAATGCACCATGCTGCCGTGTTGACAACATGACCGAAAGGCGCAGATTACTGTTTGATTTGAGAAGGACGCTCCTCGCTCACGGCTTTTGCCCTTTCACGTCACGGGCCATAGACCGGTACCCCACGGCTCAGCATTACCGAATCTGCCCAATGATGGCGAAGAGGAAAGCAACAGCACGTATCGTTCTTACTCTTCTCAACGAGCAGCGGGTGCTGCCGTCCCACCCCCACCCTTTTCCCCTACCCCCTTTCCCCCCACCCCCGTCCCAAAGCACTCCCAGTCTTCGCACAGCAGTCCCTCCCAGCTGCAGTCAGAGCAGGAGATGTTCACCCCTCCGCGTCCAGACTGCAAATGAATCTCGCATGCGGGAAGCCCCCCGCTGGCTGATCCCGCCCTGGCTTACATTCAGGGCGGGATGTAAATGTAAAATGTCCTTTGTCTAAAATAAATCACTGCATTTGACTCACACAGCCTCAGTCACTTACTCATCTCGTCCACTGTGTGTGTGCCTCTCTGTGACATAAGCTAAACATCTAGCTGGCTAGCTCATCATGTCTCAGTCTAAACTGTACACTCAAAAAATACAGAAAGGAGTGAGAATCAAACCCTAAATTCAAAGGCTGGTTGAAGCCATTTATTGGAGATGATACACGGGCATACTGCCTGTATTGTAAGGCTGATTTCTACGCCAAACTTAGTGATGTAAAAAAAACACATGGACAACTCAAAAACATACTCAAAAGACAAAGCCTTATAACAGTTCCACCCAAAACAAGCTGCCATTTATGGTTTAAAAAAAGGCTGAGGTCACCATGGCATTAGCTATCGCTGAACACTGTTCCATGCTGGCATGTGATCACATTGGAGAAGCATGTAGAGCTGCTTTCTCAGATTCCACTGCTGCTACCCACTTCAAAATGCACAGGACAAAGTGCACAGAAATGATTAATGTTCTAGCAACATACTTTCTGAAAAAGTTGGTCGCAGATGTGGGTGACCAGCGTTTCAGCCTCCTCCTCGATGAGTCCACGGATGTAAGTGTTTCTAAGTACCTGGGGGTTGTGATAAGGTACTTTAGTGACACCAAGCAGACAATTGTATCAACATTTCTGGGGGTTGTTGAGTTGGAGGGAGGAGATGCCAAATCTATAGCCCGTGGTGTTGTGGCTTTCCTTGAGAAGTGGTCTTAAAAAAGAGAAACTCCTGGGGATATGGACTGACAATGCCTCTTATGACGGGGATTAACAATGGGGTCCATAAAGTGCTGAAGGAGGAGTATGGCCTCAAAGATCTGGTTCTTATTCGCTGTGTGTGCCACTCTCTGCAGCTTGCTCTAAGTCATGCTTCCAATGACACCATCCCCCGTAGTGTGGAGTACTTGGTATGAGAGACATAACTGGTTTTCAGTGTCTCCAAAGCGCAGGGAGGCCTACAAGGCCATATATGAGACCATCAACTGTGGGGAGAAACCTTTACAGATAACCAAGGTATGTGCCACACGTTGGCTCTCCATTGAACCCGCAGTTTCACTCATTTTGGACCAGTGGGAGGAGCTTAGGCTGCATTTCGCAGTCACCAAGTCAGTGCTGGGTGAGGTACAGTTGGCCATCAATGCTTTTGAGGGAGAGCAAGTAGATCCTCTTAAGCTACTTGACAGCTTGGTTAGCCTGATCAAGTCTGAGCAGCAGGGTGCTGAATCCACTGGCAAATGTTGATGTACTCAAAAGGGCCAATAGATGGATACATCAGTCCCAAACCGTACCTTGGTTACCTTTTTGAGTCAAAGGAAGCTGAGCTCCACCTTGCGCCTGAGGATGAAAACAATGTCTGAAAGCGGTGTGTAGCCTTCACCATCTCCCTCACTAATGAGTTGAGGGTGAGACTGCCGGACAACATCGAAGCATTGCAGTACATCGCAGTTTTCAATGTGGAGGAAACTCTAAAGCACAATAAGAGCCCTGGAGAAATAGAAAAAATAGCCAAGCTCCTTGGCTACTCCCCTGCAGAGATAGACAAGATTGTCCAGCAATGGCATGCCATCCATCTTAGTAAATGGAATGAGACAAAATGCACACTGGGCTTCTGGAGTGAGATTTGGAAGTTCAGGGATGCAGCTGATATCAACCCGTTTCAAGAACTTGCCATGGCTGCTGTGTCTGTGTTGTCCTTGCCACACTCGAATGCTGAGGTCGAGAGAGTATTCAGCTAGATGAGTGAGGTAAAAAGCAAACTTAGAAATCGGATGTCCTTGCAGACCCTTAACTCCATCCTGTATGGACTGAAGCTGTCTGGTGAGGCTTGCTATGAGCACCAACTGCCTGATAATGTTTTGCAGCTTTTTGGCACATCAGCTGCGTACTCATTTAAGTCAGCTCCCTCAGTTGCTGAACCTGCCATAGAGAGCCTTGACCAAAATGACAATGACCCACTCTTTCTGTGAGCCAGCACAGCCTGTGTGTGTGTGGATTAGGGCCAGACTAGTTACCATCGTTTTCTCACATTGCCATTGACAATTTTTTCTATTGTCTCTTTTTGGTCCATTTAGATTGTTAATGTAGATTGTATACAAAAAAAATGTTACAAATGTTATGGTTAAAAATTTTCATGTTTTACTGTGACTTGTTGTAGGCTCCTAAGTGGACCATAAGGTCAAAAAACAAAACAAACGTAAAAAATAAATAATACAAAATTAAGTAACTCCGCCAGAGTGTCTCTTTTGGGTCACTTTTGCCAGTCCCAAGCCCGGATAAAGGAGGAGGGTTGGAATTGTGACATAAAAAAAAAACAAGAACCGACAGAAGAAAGTTCATTTGTAGTTCTAAACATATTTAGTGTTTTTTACTCACTTTTTGTCTCTCCCACGACGTTATTCCTCTCTCCTACAGCGTCCATCACAATTACATGCACATGGCAAATTATGCAAATTAGGTGATGACGTCATTTAGCGACTTCTAGGACAGCCAATAGCTACTTTCCTTA